AATAGACCATACCTCGTTGGTTTCAAATGTTATGAGAAAATAGTAAATACAAAAGTTGGAAAGAATGTTCGGATGCAAAGTGTACAGGATTGCTCGACAAAGCGCGACATACATTTCTTTTATTTAATACCCTATTTCCAATTTTGTTTTGAACTTTTTTTGAAATTCTTGAACTTTTTTATCAATACCTACCTAAACCTAATAGTTTTTCCATTATATATTTTTAATTCTAGTTTTCACAATTACGATAGATCATTATTTTTAAGGCTAGATCACACATATTTGATATTAGCGTTATTCGAAGATGACGTAAAAGATACATGCAACGGAATTTGAAATAGATCTTAAAAATAAAAGCATATATTTGAATCATTTTAAATTGAAAGATTTCGATTTCCTTCAATTGCAAGCTATATACCGGTTGACACAAAGTGGGAACACCCTATAAATTTTAAACGGCTTGAGATAGCGATTTGAAATTTGGAAGTGTTAGTATAGGCTGAATGTTCAATTTTGCAGTCAATAGTTGCACTTCCGGTTTGAGCGGAAACGAGAATATCTTTCGAATTTTAAATGACGAATTTGCATTTTTGGATTCAGGAGATTATTCTACGTCGGATAGGATGGTTTTTCTTTTATTTTTTTTTTAATTTCTGAAAATTGTGTCTAGGAAGCTGTGACCATCATAAATACTATTTACCGGGTCACCTGATCATGGGAAAAATAGTAAATGAAACTTTTCTTTACTTCTTTAATGGCAACTAGCATTTAATGTAATGAACTATTAATTTTTTTAGGATAACCTAGTTTTTTCAAATAGCACCCTAGTGGAAACAAAAACTTTTTAAAACCCATATTTTTAATGCAACATTTTGACACTAAAATTTTCAAAATCCGTTAAAAAATAAGCTCACAGGAAGGAAAAAACAGGATAAGTAAATACATTTTTATAAAAACAAAATATTACTTGGGTGACTTTGCTTTTATTCATCATCAAGTCGGCATATGATATACCTGTAGGTTTTTGTAAAATCTTTCAGAAAACGCAGGTTTAGGTATCTATTATTAATAATAACAAAGTTGAAGAATTTTTAAAGGAATTCAAAACAAAATTTTTAAATTAGGTGTTCCATTTAAAAAAATGTATGGTGTATTCACATTTTTTATAAAACTTTTGGATTTCTCCTGCGTGGATTTTTATTGAGTCGAACTTGCTAAAGTTTCGCCAATCATCCTGTTGGCTTCTGCAGAGCTTGACTGAAACTGGAGGACGCAGGAGGAAGTCTGTATCCAAAAATTCCATAATCCATAGGAAGAGAGTGCACAGCCCTCGTCCTTTCCAATAGTTGCTAATATTTACATGGAATTCTAGCCCTGAAAAACTCCAAGACGAAGTCCAAGCTAAGGTCTGGAACAGTCTACGAGCTTCCATTGAATATGGAGAATGAAAGAATTGGTCAACTCTCTTTCCTAAATGTTTTAGTCTACACAAACGATCACTGCATTCTGAGTTCAGTACACCTGAAACTTTCACACACTGGACAATACCTTAGTTCCTCGCCTACCCACCACAACAGTACAAAAAATCGTTAGAACAGAATTCTACTCTTATGTAGTTCAGAAAGTTCTGGTAAGACCCAGGAATCGGACAAGTCAAGTAGTAACTCCAAAACAAGACAACATAACTACGCTCAACATCCCCAACATCAAAGGTATCAAGGTCTCACCGAAGAAATAAAAAGGACAACCAAACAATACAAGATAAAGACCACCTTCAATGCGACTAATTTCCTAAGGAGTCACCTGACGGAGACTAAACCTTCCGCTGGCCTTTAGAGTGATCAACGAACATCGAACATCACAATGGGAGAGGACGTAACATGAAATTAACAGAATCCAAAATCATAAACAACATTGAAGGATCAGAAAATTCAAAGAAACAGCAGTTATTCATTAAAATCCCAAGTTCCTTAGCAAGCCATGTTTAGATATTAAGAATGTGTGGAAACCATTATGGGAAACATGTATCCTCATTTACTGCAAACTCAGCTGTAAACTATACCTACGCATGACCGCACTCATCTCGGTCGCATCATTAACAAAGCATACGGTTTGTAAGCATATAATTTATTTTAATATTCACCTGAAATAGATTGAACATACAATAGAAATTGAAAATATCGTATTTTATCAACATTTGTCGATGTCTCTCTGGTGATAATTTTTAATTCTTGTTCATTGTTTCTGGATTTTTTTGCAAATTTGTACGAATTTGCTCTTCGTTGTATTGTATGTTGCTTTTCTCTTGTAAATAACCAGCTATATAACTAGCTAACTAAAAAGTTATTATAGATGAGAATGAAGTATTAACCAAAAATTACACGAAGGAGTTATCGGCGGTTATCAGTTTTAGAGGTACATAAAGCTTAAGATCTTATCCATTCCTTAAATAATTCAAAAACTAAAACAACGTCGAACTTGTATTGTCTTTACTTTTCACTATTAATTGCATACCGTTTCGAACAGAGCAATCTTGCTGGCATATAATAGTTATATATTGTTTTATTTGGTACATTAAAAGCTGCAAATAATGATCTCCAGTGAACTGTTGTTCTATAAATATCGGATCCAAAATATGCCTATCTGTGACATCACACCATACATTAATTGATTGGCATGGTCTGTTCATAGATATAAGAAAGTGACTTATTGCTTTTGAATGGGATTATCCAAGGGTTGTCATTAAACATACAATGCAACAAGATTATTACCTAAAAATTCGAAATTTAAATTCAGGTAAAATTGTGGTCCGTAATATAAAATAATTATAAAACTACCTGTGTTTAATATTCTTTGGTTTGGTATACTACTTAGTTTAAGTTTATTAGTAATCATTCTTATTTCGTGTGTGATACAGCGTGTGTTGAATCGTGTGCGAATTATGCAAAATATGTGCGAGTCTAGTGTATCTATGGAGATGCTCCCGCCCAAATGTAGAAAACACTATTCTATTGAGAATAAGGAAGTTACAAACAATGTTTATTTGACTCTCATGAACGTGGTTCCAGCAAACAAGCATCTTTAGAAGAAACGGCCAGATTGATGCAAAATTCCAACATCAACTGTATGGAAAATTGTGAATAATCCCATTTCAGGAAAAAAAAGAAGAGTTGCTGAAATTTTCTCGAGTGCAGATGAAAGTAATCAAAATATAATACTGCGTAAAATTTACTAGTTATACGAGGAACAAAGCGAGATATCTTAATTAGGAGGCTTGAAAAAGATGCAACCGGTGTTAAATGTGGAAATGTGGAAAAATATGGAAGTGTATTTAACACATGGGTTTTAGATTTCAAAGGGTTGGGTTGACTTAACTGATAAGTGTAAAATAAACGCGCCATCAAAAAGAGGTAAAAGAATAACTATTTTGCATGCTGGCTCTAAATATGGTTGGATTCCAAGTGGACTTTCTCTGTCTGCGAAAAAAATTAAAGATTCTTTTTTAGTAGGTAATAAAAATAATTTGTAATTTTATTTTAGATTTAAGCATAAATACATACATAAATAAATAAATATTATTTAGTATTTTTCCTAACAAAACCCGAAATAATTAAATTCTAAGCAAAGTACGGACCTGTTCGGCCATATTTCATTCTTACATCTTGCCCGGGTCTTTCCTTAATTCGTAAGAGTTAGTTACTTTCTTATATCTATGAACAGACTTTACCCCTGGGTTTTTATTTCGTGTATTTCTCTAGGATTATTTAAGGTCCAATATCGCGTATTTTGTTTGTAGCAACCCTCCCTTGTAGCGAACGAACCAGTCCATAAAATGTTTTTCAAAAAATTATTATTCTCAATATACCTTCTTATATAATCCAAACAAAACTGCATCCTCCTTTGACGTTCTGCACTTAGTTTTTGAGTTTTACGAAATTTGAATGCATTATATTTATATTGTTTCAAAACTGAGTGAAATGACTGTCTCTTCATAAACTCGAATAATAGAGGAAACTGGATGTGCTTCATAGAATCCTAATAAGTTTGCCTTATTTTCTTCATTTAAAACATTATGATTCCGGCATATGTTTTTAGCATTTAATACGTTACCGTTTTCTGCAAATTTCTTTGCCAGCCTTGGAAATACCTGTTTTGAAGGAGCTCGGCGCTCTATAGAACTCAACCATCAACGTTGTTTACGACAGTCAGGGCATTCTTTGAAATTATATAAAAATTTCCTATTTTTGCCGATTTGTCAAAAACGAGTGAACTAAAATATATAATATACAGGGTGTTCCATTAAAAAATATATTATGTGGGCTTATATGTCAGAAAAATGATAGTGTTTTGTTTTATAAGTCACTTGGAAAAAAACTTGCCTGCTAACCCTACATTTTGTTACAGTTACAGCCAATTAAAACGTTATCAAGATAAATTGAACGCACGGTATTAGATGAGCAAACACATTGTATATGAAACCTTAGCATTTTTTATTTTTACTTTTAGCACGGCCGTTCTAAAAAAAAATAATTGGGTAGTAGGTAAATTTTGTTCTTTTTTTTTAATTCAATTGTACTCTCGTTATTCGTATTGTCCACTTCCACTTTAGGAATAGAAAACTGCGTCCTTGATTGGCTACCTATTGCGCAACGCGGATATATTTTTAGTGCGGATCGTATAGAAAAATGAGAAGCTAGATATCGCCAATGTTTAAATTAATGTTATTTCACGCGGGGTCAAAGGTTTTTTTTTACGTCGATTATGCACAGATTTATTGTTGTTTTCGAAACGATCGCTCATTGTCGCCCATAATGTTGTTGCATATTTTTCCCAGTTTCGACATTATAACATTTGTAGCAACTGCTTCGAGAAATTAATTAGGTGCAAATGCGTTTTGTATTATTTATTGTACCATCATAACAATCGAAATGGATACTATTTTAAATGATATTTTATTCACTATTTTGTTGGCATTTACAGTAAATTAAATTAAATTTCAGGATAAGACATGTCAAGTAGTGGTTACACATGTATACGGACGGTGTTTTTCTTCGTTAACGTCTTATTCTGGGTAAGTAGCAAATCTTGTATTATAACATACGTTATGCGAAGCTATCAGTGAACAAAAATGATAGCCATATAACTTTATTCCCTGGTCTGATACGAAAATTGGCTAAAGTAGGTTTCTGATTGCATAAAAAGGAAACCAATTTATTTATTCGTTGAACTGAAGGACTCCGTATCCAAAAGAGAAAAAACAACACATAATCGAGACATTTTTGGTCACAGAATTTCGGTACAAAAGTAGTTTTAGCTAACGTATAGAAAAAAAAATCTTGACTAGTACCTTCACATCACCCGCGATTAAACTGAGTTTTTCCAAAATTTACACTTCAAAACTCAACAAATTAACGAAGAAAGTTCCTATTTTACAAATACAAGCCCACAACGCCCTAAATTAATAATAATAATAATAATAATAATAATAAACAAGAGTTCTTCTTATAAAATACCAGAAAGCACACATTTGATAGCTAAATTTGCTGTCAAGAATTTCACAGAATTGGTAAATAAAATTAAATTTTTGTAACTACCAAATGACGCCAAAGTAATTTTTGGTTAGTTTTGATTAGTGCGTGGATTGTTTAGAACAGAAAATATAAATGAATATCAATAATTTTTTCTACTCCCGTCTGCAAAATACCTAATTACACACTTTACCTGTCAGCTTCGTTTCCCACGGATCCGAATGACTTCGGAGATTTCCTGGATTTTACCGCACGGGTTTGGGAACAATCGGATAATGTGACTCAAATGCCGTTTACCGCATTTGTTGCATAATATATTACAAACACTTTCACATGAGGTTTTAACTTATTTTACTTGCACCCTAATGTTCAATTTATAATAGAAGAAGAAGTTAATATTTCAATTAACTTTCTAGGTCTGAACATTAAAATACTATACTGATACTACAATATACAAAATACTCTACTGATACTACAATTCGAAGTTCTTCTTGCCATTAGCAATTCTTCGCAGTATGATTCATAGATTCTACTGATTTTACAATTGAATCAAACAAATAGCTTTTAATGACGGTTATTTGCCAAATATCATAGACAAAATTCCAAAGAAAAAACAATACCTTAATTGTTTAAAAATGATCCAATAGTCAAAGATGAACATATTTCCTAAACTCCAGTGAAAAATTGCCCAACTTCTTAAGTAAACATAATCGAAAATAGCTTTTATTAACTAATAGTTCTGCAGAAATGCAATGATTGTAACAGAAATACATAAAGATCAAAATGGAAGATGTTTTTTAAACGAATTAAAGAATATCATAACTCATGCTTTATCCATGGTCTCTGGAACTAAACTGTGAGAAATTTGCCCAATTTGTAACAGTTGAAGGACAGTTGATTTCCTATATCAGGCTAGATTCAGAGGTGTAGTATACAGAAATTTTAAATGTGACTATGGTATTTATGTACGTCTGGAATATAGTTTTAAACTTACTTTCATAAATATTGGGGCTTGTTTTTTCTCAATTAGAACGACGTTTAATTATAAAATCATCGTTATCTTTTTAATGTTTCTATACCCTCCCCTAATAAACAGTAAAATTTTTCATTTATTTCAGATAACCGGATGCATTCTATTAGGCATCGGTATTTGGCTACGTGTCGCCTACGAAGGCTATGCGACACTCCTGCCTCAGTATGCTCTCTTGGGTGCTGACGCCGTAGCGATAACAGTGGCTACAATTACGGTCATCCTATCCTTCTTCGCATGCTGTGGATCATGGCTCCAGAGCAGATGCATGCTCATTGTGGCAAGTGTTTTATATAATGAACCTGTATTAACACATGTCGAATGTCATTTAAGCAACCCCATATTACAATTTCGGAGTAAATCCGTTGGACTCCATTTCCTTGAAATAATAGTAATGTCGATATTTATTATTAACGGCCTTTTTAAACCCTTTACAATTAGAAAGCACATTCACTAATAAAAAAAGTCCTTTAAAGTTATATTTAAAGGTTCTATTTAAATTTATATATTGGAATGAATGAATGAAAACCCTCGGATTTTGCAAACCGAGAGTACCGAGTTTCGATTTTTTGTCATATGCATAATAAAGAAAAATGCTACAATAGGCCATTATTTTTGGTAGGGTGTAAGCATTTTTTAAGCAATTCTACCTGCTTGAATTACCCTACTACGTAATATCATAGACATACCATCGTTATATAAAAGTTTATAGAATAAAATGATTTTTTTTATTTTAATTCAATATCGTTTAAATGATATGCCGATATCCGTAAATGAAAAGGCATATTGGCCAGCCTTAACTGAATCTATCGACACTACATATTTTTACCAAGCTCCATAGAAAAGTTAAAGCACTGTGTCGAAATCCAAAAATATTCCCGATTAACACCCGAAGAAAATCAACCGTAATCGAGGTGTTTGATGTTAAAAGCATGTGCGTTTATCAAGGTGCACGGTAAACTAAACAAACTATCGGCCTGCTTTCCGTGAGGAGTTCGATTTTAAAAAATATACCGGGTTAGTCGAAAAGATGACTTCATGACAGATCTAAGTATGAAAATATTGTTGTTTTTATTTTTTTTTAAAGAAACTTCCACAGGCAACTGAAATACTATTTACAAATCTTCTGGATTCCTCCGGCGTCGGTTATTGATGAACTGAACTTGAAACTGAGTTTCAGTTAAGCTCGAAAGAAGAAAATGCGAACGTCACTTGAAAAGTTTTCGACCTAACAATAACAAGATATTTTTTCCCTCTTTTTTTCTATATAGTCTCCCTTTAGAAGTCCCAAACGTTCATCATCTCTTAAGCTCTTAAATTCAACTGCGCAAACATTCGCCGTAGTAAATGCAAAGTCCCGATACACAAAGTCCAACACAACTTTAATTTGCGTGGGCGTATTGCCTTTCAAAAACAAATATTTTATAAAAGCTCTATACTCAATTTTTTACGTTTTCACGAAAATACTCAACACACTGAAAGGAGTCTCAACTAAAAACTACGCTTCAAAATGGCTAAAACTACGGCAACAATTAGGAGGTGCACAACTACGATCACTAGCTTTTAGTGACTAGCTGCTGCCATCTTCAGGGTGAGATCTAAACTTTTCAAGTGGCCCTCGTACACTTTGCTTCATGTTTCCTCTCTTGTAGTTCTTTTATAAAATGAAGCTCGTAAACTGCAATTGCGTAAAAATTAAATAATAAATACATATTCAACACGATAAAATTTAACGCCCTAATGAAAAGGAGCATAATTCTTGAAATTCTTCACACACAAATCTGACCCCCCTTTTTTGCACTCATCCTGTATAAAAATAAAGAAAACTATTAACTACACTTTACACAGTAATCAAAAATTTAGACCTGAAATTCCAGATGTTTAAAGAAAAACCCCTTTTTGTACGGAAATTCCTCTGGAGCGTAATAATAAACCAACAGAAAACTACATTCAAATTTAGAGCTACCCCTTTATTGTTGTTAGGTTATAAGGGTGTTTTGATTAATTTTATAAAATATATCTTGCTTATATGTAAAGGAATTCTGAATCCCGCAATGTTAACTCTGTTTGTTTTCAAATTTGAATTACCGTTTTTGCTTTTTTTCCGACTTTATCCACACGTGTGGCGGTTTTTCATGAGTTTTGGTTAGTTTCTCTAATTTCCCTTCAACTTATAAACCGTTAGTTCTGCTGCTTTAACTGAAGATTAAATTCTGTAATTTCGAAACATGTCGTTTGATGGTGAATTCCGTATTTAAAATTAAGTAATTGTAGTGGTGCGTGAATTTTAATGTGAAGTTTATATTCGTGAAAATTTCAATAATAATGTATTTTAATTTTTAAGGTAATATTTAAATACTTCTAAAGACTATTAAAAGGTTTCTTGTCCTGTACCATTGTATTGTACCATTTTAAAACCAAATTAACCAAAAGTAATTCTGAAATCTTTGGAACATTTTCAGTATTTCAGTTTGGTGGTGGCCATGTTCGTGGTCGAGTTCCTTTTGGGTGCATTAGCCTTCGTTTATCGGGACGGCATCAAGCACACCTTCACCGAGAAGCTGCAGGACGGCCTGCTCCGTCACTACAATATGACCGAAGGCCCCAACAACCTCGTGGGAGTCTGGGATAATATTCAGACTACTGTAAGTTCAGATTTAATAACACAGGTCTACAAAATTAAACTTTTTGATAGGTTTTGAAAACTGGTTTTATATATTCCAAAAATTCAAAGTGTTGTAACGTACTTTCGCAGTTTTCATCCTTTCCCAAGAAGCTTATCAATTACGTCTTTAAGTGAAAACCAAGCGTTTTTCTCGACATTGGTCATTGTGTTTTGGAAATCCTTGTCTTTGCATAATCTGCGATGCAACAAAAATACCTTCTTTTATCTTGGCATCAGATATGACTGGAAATTTCTAGCACAAATTGCCACGCACCTCCTGGTCTAAAGAAGATATAAAAGCAACGCGAAATACTTGTTAGAAAAGGAAAAAAGAGAAATAATTGTGGTAAAAAAGAGGAAAAAAGGTAAATAAATAAACAGAAAGAAAAAAAGGATTGAATTTCTTGCAAAACTGGGTTGCTGGTGCTTGCAAATTAGTTACCCGTAGTGCTCAGAGTTCTGCAGCGGTGCGAGGTCCACGAATAATAAAGAAAATGTTGCACTATTTATCCTTAGGGCGCCAGGAAGTAGCAGACCTTCCAGTCTCTCAAATGGTTTGAGCAACCCGATGTTTTGCGAAAAAGAAACAAGAAGAACATTAACGATGAAATCTAATATATCTAAAAGTTAGTCGTGAAGGTTAAGGGGAGAAAAAAATAAAAGGTGAAAACTGGTCTATGTTATTTAATACGCGCGACGTACCAAACTAAACTCCGCAAAATTTACTTGCCGAAATTTCCAAAATAGTATAAATACACAAAAATCAAATTTAAAAAAAAATTGTAACTCATGTCGATCATACTCAGTATTACCAGTACGTCAACTTCCTGTTCTTCTACCAAACGGGAAAAAAACGATACGATACCACGCATATCGCTCGGAGTTAGGAGTGAGAAAGATAAATAGAGTACTTCCTCAGATATTCGGGAGAGATGCCGGAACGGAGAGAAATCACGGAACTTGGTGCATAAGGCCATACGCCCAATGATACTAGCGGTACGAATTTATTTCGCGAACGAATTATTTATTTCAAGAAAATATGTACGTATTTATTCCGCTGTCGGATTGAATTAATCCCTTATTTATTGATAAAAGGTTATAGTTTTAAGGAGAGCATTTATTAGAATGTGAGTATTTGAAACATTAGTAATAACAACTAAATCGAATTAAATTACGACTTTCTTAGCCTGGTAGCACTACCGTAGACGTCAGAGCAAATCAGGTGTTTGCCGGTGAGGTAGGAAAAAAAATCGCTTAGAATTTAAAATGTAGACGCGGAATTACCGGATCGTATTGCACTATAATAACGATTCTAAAGTGTTACAAAATAGTTGAAACATTAGGGCTTTAACAAACTGCGTCATCAAGGCAAGTTTCATATGAAGAGGAGGCAGTAAAACTTTTTTGGGACTAACTAAGCTATTTCTTAATACGTTTTTGCTACTAGGTGTAAGGCTTGTTCTAGAAGGCAATTTTATTCGAGTCCAATGTAAATCTCTTGACAAAACAAATAAAAACTAAAAGTTCAGATTTTCACGAAATTATACATTTTTACATGACAATTGTTTCGACAAAACCGTGTCTTTATCACATTTGATAAAGTCTGCTCAGCTCCATAAACCATGGACATTTTGTATAACCCCCTATTGCTCTCAATGCATCAACTGATGTTCTCGGTAGTTTATTGTCTTCAAAAGAAATCCTAAATTTTCATACGTTTCTTTCAAATGTGCCGAATGTGTAACCGGATCTGAGGTCAGTTCATTACCATTGTACAATAAAATGTGTCAATACAGTAGCGATTCTTCCTGAGTAAAATATTGGCATAACTCTTTTTCGCGATCCCGGTAAAAGCTTGATGTGGCGCCAGGTGCCAATAAACTCTTTTTCGCGATCCCGGTAAAAGCTTGATGTGGCGCCAGGTGCCAATAAATGCTTGTCACGAAGCTTGGGCGCTAACAATTCGGATGCATCTAATTACATCATTTAATTGGCTCTGGTTAAACACTTCCTCTGATTCTGATATGACGTTTTCTAGTTCTGTTGGGGCGCTAGGTATAGGTACATGAGGAACTGGTCGAATAGCAGAGTCAGATTGGGATTCACAATATGTTTCTTATTTCTTGTTGAATCCACGAACAAAAATAACAATCATCACTGTGATTTCTCGCCATACCATAGAAACACCAACACCAGGACTTATCTTGGTCGCAAATTTTTACACCAAAAAAAAAAAAAAAAAAATATATATATATATATATATATATATATATATATATATATATATATATATATATATATATATATATATATATATATATATATATATATATATATATATATATATATATATATATATATATATATATATATAACAGATATAACAAAAGTTATTGGGATTGTTCACACATTGTCTTCTTTCCGTATTTATACGTTCTAGAACACACTACGACCAACACAACCAAACTGCGCATAAGCAGGTTGAATCGCTGTATTGACACTTCTGCGCCAACTCTGTTGCTTTGTAGAGATATCTAATATTATCCAGTGTTGCCAAATCACATTTAATTTCATAAAAATCAATTCATTTAAAAATCACGCCTAACATGGAACAAATATATTTATGTCATAGGTATGTATATTAATAAAATCACATTTTTAAGATATAGAGCGCTATAAAAAAAAATGACGCGAGAAAGTAAAAATGTGGCGTTTTTTGGAAAAAAAGTCACCGAAAATATACAAATAAGCAAACAGCTTTCCAACATCAAAATTACTGTTGATCTGTTTAATAAATAAATCGGTTAGTTTTAGCGAATGGCGCTTTTTTAGTTTAGATGTTGCGGGGTGACGAACTACATGGACTGGCATATGATCGATGCGTGGCAAGACAAGAAGTGGGTGCCTGATACGTGTTGTTTACCGGCAGAATTCGCAGCGGGGTGTGGTCGAAATGGGGGTGACGCCATTTACAAAACTGGTTGTTACGAAGTGATATACAGGTGGTTCAAAGATCGGCTTCTGGTCGTCGGATTGGTTGGGTTAACAGTTGCATTTGTGCAGGTAAAGTGTGTTTCAATGCATATCGTCTTGGCATTTGACGGACCGTCCTCCAAAAATTCACCTTTATAATCAACCCAACAACAAGCTGCAAGTCAGTAGAGTGTCGACCACATGTCGGCTAATATATATATGTCACTAGTTTCTAAGAGATTTTCAAAGAAACCTGCCTTCTTACAAAAACGTCAATATCCTCGATAAAGAATATTATGAATAGTGAATTATTGAATGAAAGAAAAAATGTTGTGAATATCGCACCAAATGGTTCCCACTTCGGACAAACTGAAAAGTAAACTAGAAGAAGATTAAACCAATGTTAGCCGTCCTATAGTAAAATGGGACTGAAATGCAGCAAAATCGACAGGATAGGATTGACAGCAAATTCACAATTATAGATAAGAAAACATGTATAATTTACATAAATTAAACTAGGTGCATTACACCAGATACAGTATCAAAAGGATGGGTTAATTCTAGTAAAAATTGTCAGACAAAAGCACCTTCAGTCTCAGCCGTCTGCTACAAAAAGCCCCAATTCATACAAAAACTGAAATTCAAAAATACGGAAGTAATTTTGCAGTTTTTTTTAAACTTTTGTAATCCTCATCAGATTGCAAATGACAAGCAATGATATTATTCCATTCCTTTGGTTGATGTTGATAACGCTATCTACAATATTAACAATAGATTAATGAACTATTCAAATCCCAAATCCTTTGGGACCCATACAATTTAGTTAAAAAATAACAAAAATTTTAATTCTTGCATTGATAAGTTCCGCTTAAAATTGTCTAACTCATCTAGAAATATGGGCATATGGGACTGTTACGAGTATGTTTGTGATTGTTTTAACATCCAACTTTCGGTTAGGTCGGTTAGATTTAGTGCTTAGCTTGCAAACGGAGTAAAACGGGCAAATATTTGTAGAATAAACTGATCAAATCTGGCTCCGCTATCGTGATCTACTTACTCAAACATAGAAGTTCCGTTTGTTAAGGCTCTTTTAGCTACAATATCTCTAAAGTGTTTAACAAAATCTGCCAGTAGTAATAAAGAAGCTCGAAATATATTTCGTTAAAAAAAAATTTCGTAAACGTACAATTTTCCCTTTTGCCTATTACTTTTAAGTATAGTTTTTCACTTTCCATCTATATAATAATATTGTCTTTTTTTACTTACTCATTATGTTAATATCGTAATGAGGTGGTTATATGGAAAAGCGTGTTTGACGAATATCGCCACCTTTGCACTTTCATTATTATATTTGATATATATTACGTACGTAAAAAAATGACGTGTACAAGAAAGGACAATTTTTGAAAGTGTTAAACTCATACAGCTTGAAATCATTGTATATTCAACGCCATAGAACATTTGTTTGCACAAAGTAAAATCAAATTTTAAAAGTTAAAGATTCTTATATTTGCATACAAAATAAAAGAGTAGTTAATGACGACCTTGAGAATGACACACAATTAGATTTTGAATAAAAACATTCAATTTAGGTAATTATTGATCATTTGTATATATTTCGAGTCACCGTACATACACCATACAAAATTTGTTTGTCTGTTGTGCACTTTGCACACCACCAAGGTTACCTGGATCTTTAACATATCAAATAAACTTTCTATTAAGCAGAAAAATATTTCCACAATGTTCCATATGTAAATTTCCCAGCAAAACTGAATTTATTTATTTGGCATAGGTTTCACGTTTCATTTTTGATGGGATCATAAAATATAAACTACATATGGTTCTACATACAACGATGCTCTACTGCATCGGTTATTATTACAAAAATTAACTGTTTAACTATCTAGATTAATATTTGCATTTTGCATTTTAGTTATTCGGGCTGATTTCATCGATGCTTCTTTTCTGCACTGTAAAACACAGAAGAAGGTCAAGAACTTACAAGTCCTACCAATGAATAAAAGACTTCAATTTGAATATATTCGGTCCGTACGGAAAAAGCATATGAAATTGCTAACCTGCATTTCTTATCTATTTTTACTTTCCCTTTACATTGACTAAACTCATCAAATTTTCTATATTATTTATGTTATAGTTGTAAATATTAATAAGATATGTTAAGTACACGAGACATGTTCGAATAAATTATTTTGTTGATAAACATTTGTTTGCTTTTCAATATTCAGTTGTAACAGTGTATTAGCCGTATTTCTGTATATTTGTTATTAAATTGGAATAGTGGGGTCAAACATGAAAAAATGGCTAATGTGTGTGCCCTTCAACTCAAATGGAGCACAACTGTTTTGGATCAAAACTATTTTGAATACTGTGCGAAACTTGTTTACAATTCAATTAGAATAATAAATTATTGTTGTTTTCATTTTTACCGTGCGGTAAATAGTTATGAGCTTAAATTTTACCACTGACCTACACTTTACGTCATTTTCTTCTAAACAGCCGCACACTGCACTCGTCTCACAATATATAATGAGATCTGCACACATTTTGGGAAAACTGCCGTATAACATACATCGAGACCGTCGCAAAATATCGAATTGAACTGTCAGCGGCCATATTGGTTGTTCGACGTAACTAGATCTTATTGGTTAGTTTAAAAGCACAGATATGGCTAAACACAAGTATTCAAATGACCTTGCACGCACATATTGAATGGCATTTCCTGACATTTTTTTCGTGATCGCTTCAAACGTTCCTATATTATCAGCATAGGCAGGCCCCCATTTTTAATTCTGAATAAGTTAGGATTATAATAGTAGGTGTAAACTACTAACCAAATTTGTTCTTTTATAAACGAAGTTATTTAATTAAAATTGTATAAAGTATTCCACATTCAACGTTATTAATATTTTACCACTATAAAATTAGTAGGTCAAATCCCCACTTTTCAAATATGTAATATTTATAGTTTTTGTCTTACCAAGTTAACGAAATTACTAGTATATAGCATGAAAATTTTCACTCCAATCAATCTAACATTTATTTAGGTTTTTACAAAATTATGAAACAATATATATATATATATATATATATATATATATATATATATATATATATATATATATATATATATATATATATATATATATATATATATATATATATATATATATATATATATATATATATATATATTATAATAGCCATATTAATTGTATTAGGCTAGTCCAACCAACTTTCCTCCAACTTGATTTAGAGAATTGGTTAGCTTTTTACCAGCTTGACGGGCAATCTCAAATGGCGCCTAAAACAGAAAAAATAATAAAACTAGACACATTTTCTAAACAGAGTATTGTTGACCAAAATTATAGTGTGTTTATTGCTTTGACGTTTCATGGTATATTATGCAACAGGTGCGCTAAACGGCATTTGACTCACGAGTTTATTTGACAGGAACGGAGCGAGTGTTTAATAAACGAGTGAGTTAAAAAGTTTACCGAACCGAACAATACTTTTTCTACGACCGTTAGTTTTTGGGTACTATTTTGCAAAACACGAATACATTCACTGACATGACTGTGAGAGTTGACAAACGTCAAAATTCAAAGCGTGGGAAATATCTCCGAAAACATCCGATTGCTCCCAAACCCGTGCGGTAAAATCCTGGAAATGTCCGAAGTGGCTCAGATTCATGGGAAACGAAACTGACGTGGTAAAGCGACGCTTCCCGCACGCTAAATCGGTGCGTAATTAGGTTTTTTACAAACGGGAGAACAAAAAGTACTTTACAGTACCTTAACCGCAAGCCTTCGCAGGACCGTGGTAAACCCCATCCCAAGAGATGTTTATTCTGCATTAAGTAGGTCTTGACTGAGATGGACTGTAACGTAGCTTGGGATTTTTATTTGAAACGTAAATGCAACGTTTTCAATTTCATTAAGCATTGATGCTGCAGGTTGATTTCGAATAAGTAGAAGCCTTTATTTTAATCTAAATTGCAATCTGTTCGTATAAAATACGGAGGTATTTGAATCTGATCCTTCCAGTAAATATGTATTTATGTACCTGATTCTCGAACTTTGACCCTGTGGCTGTTTTCACTGGATAGTTCAAAGGGTAAGGGTACCTATTCGCGGTAGATAAAGCTATATCACAAGAATACAGATAAATATTTATTAGAATCTTACAATTTAACATTTTTTGAAGGTTCCTGTTTTTAAATGTGGAGACCGTGAAATGAAGCAGACGTTCCCCTGTTAGAAGACGATATAAAAACAACGCAGAATTTGAAGACGAAATGGAGATGGCAGTCGAATCTAATGACAATTTAGAAGACAAACTGCATCAGCAAATAAAAAAAAAACAGATCCATTTGTCTTCGGATGCTAAACAATTTTTTTTGAATGTTTACAATTTTATAAGAAATTCAGAAGAATAGCAGCAGCAGCAGTAGAAACAAGATTGCTTTCGAAAAATCGTCACTGGGCGGGGCAAGTTCGTAGCGCGTAGAGGGAAGCAGCTATTTATTATAAAAGGAAAGAACTTTGCGATTTCGTGTGGTAAAGGGACGCATTGTTTTTCTATCGTCCTCCTGCGGACCACTATGGAACTTTCGCAAAATCGATGTAATTGAATTGTGGATGCACCCTGTATAAAATGTCCTTCACATCTCTTCGAACTTCAAAGTTAAATAATAGCGTTGTCAAATGTTATTTTATTGTTCAAAATAGAGGTTATAGCTCTGGATTTTCCACGGGTCCTGGTTCAAAATTTTTTCGAAAATACTAAATGGTTTTCGAGAAAATAATTTTTTTTTAAGCCATGCAGTGCGCCGTAGTAATCAATGAAGTCATGGCAGCGCCGAAATAGCGATTTCAATATGGATTTTTTCAAATATTCCGAGCAGCCTGTGTGATAGACGAAAACTGCAAATACAAAAATTGTAGCTGTTGATGCGGCCTATAACATCGTTTGAACCAATTAGCCATATTTTGTACGAATTTTGATTTGCGGCTAATAATTTACTCTGTAAAAAAACAATTTTCTAGGTCTTTTAGATTTTTGCCCATAATTTGAAAACCCTGTATATAATCGAAAAAATGCCTGAAGTAACTGTTATTACATTGGATCTTCTGCATCTGCCGGTTAAAGAATTTTGCCAATCGGATGAACGATTATGGAGGAAAACATATTTTTCTGGAAGCTAAAATGACCAAAACAAAAAAATTCTAATATATTTAAAAAATACTTGGTAATATTTGCGCCCAATTTCTACAGTTTAAATGTGGACACGGACTTTTACTTCTCTGCTAAATTTGAAGTTGATATCTGCAAATGTAGGACACTTAACACATTTCTCATTCAGCACGGGATATCGGGAACACCCTGTACAATAGGTGAAAACCTTAAATACAAAATTTTTTGTTATCTATGCGGGCTATATCGCAATATAAAAGTAAGTGAGATCTGAATCATAGTGTTTCAGTTATAACCAATTTTCCATAATAGGGGGACAGTTTTTTTTAATTTTCGGCGCACCCTGTATATTTCAGTTAACATTGCTCCTGATTTGTTGAAGGAAGCGTGTACAAAACTGGTAACAGTTAACGGCCGTCCATTCAGCATATTTAACGATTCGGGGTTTCGAAAAATTTTAGATCCGATAATAGCTGGACTAGACAATAAAATCGCAATTAATCCGGAAAATATTTTAAAAAATGTGTCGTTAAATGCTTTGAGTTTAAAAGAAAAAATAATGACAGAATTAGAGGGGAAGTTATTATCTTTCAAAGTTGATGGAGGAAGATAGAAGTATATTAGGAATTAGGACAATAATATCTGTATAGTTTTAAAGACGTTGGCGATGCGGGAATTGAAGGAGAGGAATACTTCCTTCAATATCAAGTTGATCTGAAGCAAGTACTCAGTATAACAACAGACAAATATACTCAAAGCGGTGAGTTTGTTAAAAGAGCAGCAACGCCATATTATTAGTGATGAAGAGGAAAATAAAGATCAAGGTAATGAAGAACAAGAAAATGAAATTCGAGAAAATGAAGAACAAGAAAATGGAATTAATACATTCATTAAGAAACTAGATGCTTCCATAGGTGACACTGCAACAAATTCCCGCAGTAGAGACCGTATTCCACCAATAATAGGTAGAGCTAGGTGAATAAAAGATTAAGAACAATAAATGTTTTAACGATAATTAAAACAATGAAATTTAAGAAAGCTATTATAGATTGTGCGACACGGTGGCCAGCACCCATGAGATGTTGGAAAGGCTCTTATAATTGAAAGACTTTTGTAGAGACATGGTCGGAAGCATTGAGGAGCTATATTTAAGCAAAAATAATTGGTTTGATATACAAGACATCTGCAACGTTTTAAATCCTGCGAAAAAAACAGCAAAATTATTCCAAACAACACATTTGTGGGCTGGAGATTTTTATTCTGCCTGGCTGAAGTGTTAAATGGAAACAAGTAAAATTTGTAGCCGATTTTCAACAAATTTGGTGGAATGCCTAAACGACACTATGCTCTAAAAAAATATAAATGAAGGTAACAACTTCATTGAAGAGTCATCTCTGGAGTCAACTTCAAGAGAAAAAGATGAAATAGAGCAATTTTTAAAAAGAAAATAATTCTTCAAAATCTCATAATACAGCAAATATTCGATGATGTTAGATCGTTATTATGAAAAACCGTTATACAGAAACGGCCCCAAACAATTCATTCTAAATTTAATTTTTAATATTTATAAAAAACAAAAAGCAAAAGCACCACTTAAAATGCAGTTGATTAACATTTTTAACATTTAAGCATTTAAGCATAAATTTGATGATTAAAATTATGACAAGTAACTTATTTGTCAAATATTAAAAAAATAATAATAAAAAAAGCATGTTGGCATACTTTCATTAGAAAAATAGTGAAAAACCGGTTTTAACCGTAATTTCATTTCGGTTCAAGACAACGAAAACGATATTTTTTAGGTGTAAACGAAAAGAACGAAACGAAATTTTTCATTTTCGTTCTGATCGGAATCGAACAAAATCCTTTCCAATTTTAGTCCCTGATTCTTACATCGACAACGGCGTTAATAGCATTGGAAAATCCTTCGAAAGCACCGACAACGAATATACCGAGTTGTCTGCTTTTGTCTCCCTCGTTGCCGTATTTTTCGTGTTCCTGTATGGTGTCTACAATTGGCCTCGGGTTTACCAAATTAGCGACGAAATTTTGCAAGTTTCCGTACTTGATGTCGTACTGAATCGGAAACGACTCTTTCGCAGACGATTCCTGCACGGCCCACTTGCGACCGGAATCCGGAAATGGCGTCACCAAATTAAACATCTACAAATAAATTTGGCAATTCCCAGTTTGACGACGAAACTTCGACGGTCTTACATACCTGGGGGTTGATTGCTTGTGCAATTTTACTGTTAACGCTATCGCCTATGCCGCTGAGAGGTGATAATATGGGATCTTGTATGGCCGAATGGCCGTTGGGGAAAGCGGCGGTTATGGCAATGGCGGTGACTAGGTGAACTCGGGCGATGATACTTGATAGAACCATATCTATAAACAATTGATTACAACCTTAATGCAAAAAGCTACCAAGCGACATTATATGAAAAAATTAGATATACGGGTAATAATTAATACCTCTGTGTACACAATCTTTCCAGCCCAGTGTCGACTCTAGACCTTGAAAATTTCTATTCATAAAAAAAGTGAGAGGGTAGCTTAACTGAAACTGTTAAGTTCTGAAGAAGTCAACAGTATGATTGGCGAAACGTTAGCAAGTGCGACTCAACAACAACAACAACATTTAGATTTTTCAAAGAAACTTCCACAGACTTTTTACAAAACTTTTGGATTCCTCCACATTAAAGATATTAAGCGTTCCATCACAAAACACACTTCCAAAGACAATGAGTCCGAAAGCAACTCTACACTTACCAATGTTGTTGTCGTTCCTTACATTCAAAACAACACTGGCCAGTTTTAATTATGCACTTCACCACAGCCTTCCAATAGCAATGACGCCGCAAGCAATCCTACACTTGCCACTGTGGTCCGTCCTGACATTCAAAACTTCACTGATCATATATCAAAAGTTCTAAAGAAGTATAACGTTAAAACCAGATTTACCACTTGTCCAAAAATCTCTCAACATCTTCCGTCCGTCAAATACAAAATTCAACTTGAGATACAAGGAGTTTACAGATACCAATATCAACTAGGCTCAAAGAACACGAGAGAGTCTTATAACTAAAATAAATAAATTCATCAGCGGTTGCCTTAACACACTTATGAAACCGGACATAAAATTTTATTCGATAAAACTAAAATTCTTGCATGTAATCAGTTCTTCTACCAACGAAAAATCCGAGAGTCTATAGAAATCTATAAACAACCTAACAATCTTAACTGCGACTCAGGTCTCTACCTGTCACCAATATAGGAATCAGTCGTCCGAGACGGTGTTTATGCCCCTCATTTAGCTCCGCCCGTGCCAGTTTCAGTCAAGCTCTGAAGAAGCCAACAGGATGGTTGGTGAAACGTCAGCAATTTCGACTCAGCAAAAACCGACACAGAAGGAATCCAGAAGTTTTGTCAATAGCAACATTTAAAGTTAGCCAATGAAACTTGGACACTGCGCAAAGAATATTTTGAAAAAGCTAATGGCAATGATGAATGTGAGCACTTGACTTTTGTTCTTCAAAAAAAATTAACCACGAATGCCCACAAATATTGTGTTCTATAAAATGCAGCTCGGGTTATATAATGCTGGAATTCACATAAGTCCGTGAATATTGTTACGTTTGGGCAAAGGAGAAGCTGGTCGAGGGTCTCAAGAAGTGGGACCATGTATATTAAAGCACAGTCAAATATACATTTCCTCAGAAGCGAAACATTTTATTCTGTGGAGTGACTCGTGTGGGGGTCAAAACAGAAATAATGAAATGACCCTTTGCCTTCTTTATAGTTTATAAAATACCTCAAACCTCGAAACAATCACCCTAAATTTTCTAATCTCGGGACACAGCTTCTTACCGAACGAATCGGATTTCAGCGATTTAGTAGTTAGTAAGCCGGATGTCTATATTGATATTATAATAAATTGCCTTTAAAAAAGCCATTCATAGTAACAAAAATGAAATAGAATAATTTTTATGGCGTTTCAAATATTGAAAAAATATTGGAAACAGACGACAAACCAAAGCAGGAGAAAAAAGAAACTGGCTACATATTGGATCGATTAAATTACAAAAAGAAAGTTAAAGAAAATAATTTCGCATGTGAATGCCATGCAATAAGTATTTAAAAAAAAATCTAGGAGGAAGATCATCCACAACCATTCCTTAATTCACCTTTCACATCTCTAGTGCCTTTGTGGCCAAATGGTAAACCAATCTCTTAAGAGAAACTTAAGAACTTAAACGAAATAATGCATATTATATCAGGAGATGCTCGGCCTTTTCATAGCAGCTTAGAATCAGATAAACGTATAGTGGAAGATGTAAATGGATCCGACGTGGAGGAGCTAGATTTCAATGTTGAAGCAGAGTAGATACTTAAGTTATTGAATTTTATATTTTTCCTCCATTGTTTTTTATTATAATAATTTATTGATATTTCCTATTGCTGTTTTTCATTTTGCAAAATCCTACCAAGCCACAAAATTTTTGGTATTTTTGAAAAAAATTAAATAAAAACTTGTTATACTTTAAAGTAAGATGATATTTGTACTATTGCTACAGTTTTTTTTTGTATTCAGTTTTGTATGCGTTGGCTGCAGATTATCTTATTTAGCAAAAATTTCATTTACAGTATTATTGATTTGGAAGTTTTTTTGCATAACATGGCCCATTTCACAGTTTCTGGGTGCATTTAGGGTACTGGAAATATTTTGGCAAATTCTTAAATATAGCAGGTTACAAAACAATACAATACAATTCGTGGCGAAAATAGCTGTATCCTATATTATGGACTATGCAAGGTGTTTTCTAATTGAATTTTGGTCCATTTTAAAAAGAAAACTTCATACAAACGCATGTAATAACCGTCTTAACAAGGTGGTAAAGTTTTCAAAAATAAAAAATATTTTTCTAATATCTGTAATATCATTTTAGATATTTTAATGAAACTTGCCATTATTTTTCTTTTAAAATAAAAATTATTCTTCCAATCTTCAATCATTTCTAAAGAAATTTTCAATCCGATCTACGCTTAAAAAAATGAAAACCTCTTCTCTGCATGCTCATAACAATCTCGTTAATATGACAGCATGCAGAGAATTATTATTATTAGTTGTTCTGCTCTATTTTTTAAAAAAAAGGTTATTATTAATTTATAAACAGATAATTTTGTTAAAAATTATTAAAAGAGGTAGGTAGTGGTTTTTTTTTAATAAGAATCGTTTATTATTTAACTTGTGAGGATATTATGCTATTTCACTAAACCTGTAAAAGTAAACAAAAAAGTCTTCTAATTTTTTTTCTGAAGAACACTAGTTGGTAACTAAAAACTAGATATTTTGTTTAAGATAGATATTTTATTTTTCACAAAAAAAAAGTTATCGACTTAACCTGTACGGGCGACCTAATTCATTATTTCCTTTGATTTCCTTTAAAAAAATGACATTTGCATTCATTTATGAGCAGATTTGATTTTTTAATTTTTTTTTAGTGCGTCACAGGGTTTCACTTAAAAATAACAACTAATTTGTCTGCATGATGTCACATTGACGATATTGTTATGACCATGCAAAGAAGCGGATTTTATATTTTAAACGAAAGCCGTAGATCGGGCTGAAAAAATCAAGAAATTAAGTTTCTTGAGAAATGATCAGAGATTTGTAAGAATTGTTTTGATTTTAAGAGAATCAATTGGCATACCGTCAATGTCTGCCAAAATAGACAGGTGAAATACCGTATGCCCACCATTGGTGTAAGTTTTTAAAAATGTGGTACACCAGGTACACCAAATGAAGCCTCTTGATATACACTACAAGTGTGCCAAATTACATTAAAATATCTAACGTGGTACTTATGGAAATTTTACCATTCTGTGTCCTGAAAATTTAAGACGTTTGGGACATATATTCATATAAAGTTCTCTTTTTAAAATGGACCCAAAAATAGGTCCCCTTAATTATTGACATTCAATTAGAAAACGCCCTGTATATTGCTCAAAATTAATTGTGTTTTAAATATTATAAAATTTAGGGATTATTACCTGTAAGGAATACAAAATGAATGGGTTCTAAAAAACTTGCAACAACGATAGGCAGATACTCTATCCAACGTGCTTATAAAATTCGTACTAAACACGGAAATAAGTTATTTCATTATTTATTAGCCACCACTTGGGTATACTTTTTATTCCAGGAAATGGTTTATCCTTATATTCAACGGGTAACGTTAAATATTTTTAGTATAGCATAAAAAATATATTTTGAGTATTTAGATAGTCTTGCAATTGGAAGAATACAGTTTTTATTTTATTCGGGTCACGTGATATCTTGTGTTGGTTGTGTTTTATACACAATTGATTAATTTGTAATACTTGGGTATCATTAAATAAATCTATACTAGAATAAAACTTGTTTTTATGCAGCATCACCTTCAAGATACATTTTTGACCGACAATCAAAAGTTCAATTATGGTTTTATTGGCTACACTCCAAGCAATGACGCACTAATTAAGAACTGAATCAAACAACACACACTACACTTTTTTTAGCATTTAGAGATCAACTTTACAATTTTATTAGAGACGTATTCAGTATGCTCAGTATCTTAAATTTAAATCTAAGATATCTAATTTCATTAGTTTTATTTATTTTAAGGCTATAATTGCAGAGGGGCGATTTTGACAGTGAGAGCTATCAACAGTTATATGTCGGTAGTAGTGGAATCATTCGCTTTTATTATAGGAATGTCAAAAAGTGTGACTTATCAACGTTCATTGCTAAGTAATTTTTAAAAAATTATTCACGTTTTCACTTGAACTGTTTTTTTTTCGTTTTCACTCACTTTTTTCCTCCCAATAGGTCAGATTCATATCTATACGTTCACTAAAAATAATTTTAAAAATAACAGTTATGTTGTTTTATTGTTGAAAATTATGTATTTACAATATTTTACATATTAGTATAATAATATACTCGAGCCTATTTATAACTTTCTTCCCTTGCCCCTGTGTTTCTTTGCTTATTAACCGCTATGACGAGTGAAAACACTCTATCCTTTTCTAACACTATTTTATTTCGATCAGAATATTGCAGTGTCGCCAAGTTTTGACTATGCTAAGAACTAAGAAATCCCTTACGTTCGTCCCACCTCAATTATTTTTAAATTTCTTATAAAATCTGGGTTATAAAAGCAGTTAAAATTATTTTTTTACTAAGATTCATAAAAAGTATTATTATATGAGCCAAAATCTCATAACCCTTAATTTTTAATTATTTTGAGTGATTCCATTAATGACGAAATATTTTTCGAATATTGAAAATACGAATTTCATCTTGAGAGGAAAAAATTGTGTGGAAAATAAAAAACAAGGCTTTTATTTTTCTTCAAGCTCAACCCTGAATAACTTTCAGAGATTTTTTTTGTAGAGCATTAAATTCCCTTTAAAAATCAATTTTGGTCTTTTCTGTATAATGTAAAAGTTAAAATCAAAAACCTTATCAATTTTTAAGGAATTCAATTTCCTACAAAAACATATTCCGCAAAATATTTTTATCTCAATCGTTTGGATGTTTTACAGCAATAATGAGATGAAGACAAAAAAAAAACCTGTTTAATGATCCATTAAAATTAACATTGGTCATAATTGTCATCGAAATAATAGTCGATTTTTTTTTAACACCCTGTAAGCGATAAATTAATTCTTAATATCAATTTCGAAAGGAAGCTTGTTATTATTAATTGTAGCTCCTCACATTTAAAACAATTTCTCTAAACTACTTTAAAGCTGCTCAAAAACGGCTCCATGCATTAAATGCGCACCATCTGCAGGAGTATTAGTTATTTAATAACTTTTTTAGAATAAAAAACTGTGAGGCTATATTCTAGCTGTATTGTGGCGTACAAATAGAATTTGCATTAGAAGGCCAAACAATTAAGGGTATGCAACGATAAAAAATGCCTTTTTACTCACCTGTGTGGGTAAGTATGGCACAAAGATCTTCACGGAAGAACACCAAAACCCCGTGTGCACTTTAGCCTATAATAATTAAGGAAATATAATTCCGATATTTCTACATAGTTGACATGTAAACTATTAATTTTTCGATGGTCTCGTTGTTTCGAAATAACATTAATGTGCAATCGCATGAGTATAAATGGCTACGTTCTGTTTCTCTTCGTCTAACTTTCACTATATTGCATTGTGAAGAAAAGGACAGTTTTTCGAGTAAATGCGCAAAACAGAGGACACTTTCACTTTTGAGAAGTTATACAACTATATTGTATATTCGAATGGCAAAAATTGAGAGGGTGCTTTAATTAAATTTAATTTCATTAATTTGCCGCAGTCTGAATAGAAGATAAAAAATGCGCCTCTGGAAATATTTTCCCATAATTGTGATGAGATACTTCAATATAACAAATTTTACTTTGCATTAACTACGTTTAATATTAGGTTGCAAAGTTGTAAAACATGTTAAATACGAGATTATTCAACTTAAATATATTATATTTATAAAAAAAAATCGATAGTTTTAGAGAAGCATTTATATTTATATATTTTTGGTAATGTCGGTTGCCTATATCCCGTAAATGTCAGATTCAAAATAATTTAAGTAGATTTTTAAAACTTGATTAAATATAGTACATTTTTTGGTCAGTTGGTTGGATATTTCAGAGATCACGTACCACATAATGTAAGAGGGCCTTTTATGCTTTAAAGAAACTGACTAATATAAGTTGTTCCAATACCTGAGGGTCAAAATTAAGGTCAATATTCTTGCATTTCTCTTAACGGTTAAGGACGAGTTTTCATTAAAATTTTGGGAAGTATCCTGCACGACCAACATAAAGACACACGCTATACTGTGCTAGGTATATGATCTGTGATTGTTTTGTTTTGCTTTTGTAGAAAATACTTATATGTACATTTTTGAAAAATCTTAGCCCCAAATTTTTGTAAAATGTGGCAGTGATCATTAGGCAAACGCTAGGAGCCTCAAATCGATTCCGTTCTGATGAGGTAAAGCAAAATAGCGATGCGTTGGATTGCGCCAATCGAGGGTTGCCCCAAAAGGGTAAATCATGCGGCAGTGGCGGTTAACCATAAGATATACTCGTTCGGAGGTTACAGCACGGGAGAAAACTGCACCGGTTATACCTCAATGGACGTCCACGTCCTTAACACAACCACAAATCGGTGGACAAAACATCCTGTGAGTGATTTACCCTATTTTGAGAATGATGACATCCTACCTTACCGAAGGTATGGTCATACGGCGGTTGTGTATAAAGACAATATTTACATCTGGGGCGGCCGGAACGATAGATCGTCTTGCTCAATTTTATTTAAATTCGACACCTTTTGGCATTGCTGGACTGCACCCAAAACAACTGGCTCTATTCCACTAGCAAGGGATGGACATAGCGCCTGTGTGTGGAAGAATTATATGTTTATATTTGGAGGTTATGAAGAGGAAACTCAGCTATTTGGCAAGTCTGTCTTTTTTTTGGATTTGGACAAATTACACTGGTCTTGCATCAATGCTAATGGTAAGTGAGACTTATTAAAATGGCATAATCGTTTACAATCAATAGCATTATGTGTTCTGTTATACAAGCTTAATAATATTTTATCGCGATAGATGCATTATATGGGGTTTATGCAGGCAATCTTATTTTAGTATTAACAATACCAATAAGAATTAACTAATTTTTTGTTGAGCTAATTAATATGGCTGCTCATTAAGCGAAATTTATAGTGCAGCAGTTTTGAGTTAGCAAGTCAATTCTTTCGCCAGTGGAATAAAAAACGGTACTAATCGAGTTGCCATGGAAGATAATCATATACTTCAACCAATTTGATTCAATTCATTTTTAATGTTTGTGGTAAATTAAAAAAGCTGCAGAATTGTTTGAACTAATTTATATTTTGTAGTGCAATAATGAAAAGATGTGAAAGGTTAGTTAAACCACTCACACAGATACATTAAAGGAAGAATCATTCAAAAACTTGTATGTTTTTGATATATTGATGATAGTGGCCTATAAAAAGTTTTATTGCTGTTCTTATTTTTAGCCCTAATAACAAAATTAAATCGTGCTCTTCTTAAACCCCAGTATAGACTCATATATACATAAAAAAAAGGACATGACATTGCATAGGCCTTATAATTTCTTTATTTTTTGCAAAAAGGATTCGAGCCAACCCTTAGAGATTTCCACACTACAGTTTGCATAAAAGACAAAATCTATTTGTTTGGTGGTAGAGGTGCGACAATCCATGTAAATATGCAGGGGGTGCAAGCACCCCTAGAAACTTACTGCAATAAGGTTTGGTACTTGGACATGAAAAATTTTACTTGGCACAGCTGTGAAGCAAAAGGTGATATACCAATAGGAAGAAGAAGCAACTCCGCCTGTGAGAAACATTAATTATAAACTAATTTTGGATTCGTTTAAATTATATTTCATGATTTTAGTTGTCCACAATGATAAGATGTATATATTCGGAGGGTACAATTCAATTCAGGGAAATCATTTTAATGATTTGTACATGTTTGACCCTCAAACTAATTTATGGACAGAGCTGAAACTGCAAGGAAAACCACCCTGCGAAAGGAGACGTCAAGCCTGTGCTAAAGTTGGTGAAAGAGTATATATTTTTGGTGGCACCAGGTATCTCTTAATGTAGTGAGATTTATATTTATTATAGTTTGGCTACATTTTAGTCCACGGGTTAACCCTTCATTGATGCAAGTGGAGGACGCTGGATTTGATAGTTTGGTAGATCATAGTGATATGTACATTTTGGATTTGAACCCTTCATTGAAGACTTTCTGCATGATGGCTGTAAGAAAATATAAATTGGATGAATCAGTGTTACCTCGTAGCATAAGGTAAACATTCTCATGTGCCTATGTATTATTTAAATTTCATGAAAATTTTGCTTTTAGAATAGAAATTATGAACATGTATGCTCCAAATAAGATCACCCTGAGCCGACCAAACAACTCTGCAGGATAATAATTTATTTCTCGCAAAACATTGCTGTTAGTTGCTGTATTGCAAATGTAATATACCTGTAAATGCCTAACGTAGTTTGTCAATATTGTTATATAGTTTTTTGAAATTTCTGAAAATTGCTGATTAGTTTAATATTTAGGTTACCATATTTTAATTGTTTTTTGTGTGCTTAATTTGTTTTCTTAGACTGTTATCCTATGAAAAATATTTTCTGTTACTTATAAGTTATTTTTTGTACAAAAGATTTTATTTTTAATATACGCGTTCATACAACGTAACAGTTTATTTATGTTTGCACCTAGCACTTTCTACATTAAGCAAACTCCAAACTTTGCTCCATAGCACTATAAAATTAAGTCATCTTCAGTATATTCTGAAGTTACCTAAAACAATAACAGGTATTGACCCACTACTTCATTTACCTGCTACCAAATATTCAAGAAATTAAAAGTTCCAGCTATTTTTATCAAAAACACATCTAACGGAATGACTAATTTTATGAATTATAATTGTATCTTTGCGCCATTGATCTTTGTATCTAACCTATAATTGAGGGTCTTGGGTTGCCTATGAATTTTGTTATTCAGCCAGCTCATATGAGCCTTTGTGAGTTTTGTCGAGCGTAAAAGGAAAAACGTGCCGAATGAGCGATAATTTAACCGTGTGAGATACTACTTTTAATGGAAACTGAAGAATCTCCTACAGATGGTCAAAAAGATGTTGATATACAATTAGCTTCCTCCCCAGAGGAAGTTAATTCAATTATCGCTAGGAGCAATGAAAAAGAGGAAGCTGCTAAACAGGGGCCTGCAAGTAGGCCTAGCGCTAGAGCTAGCAAAAAGATTAAACTTGATTTGGAGCAGGTAGTGTGAGAGAAATTGTCGGTTCTTGTTGCAGTGTGTTATTACAGGGTTCGCCGCCGGTTCTGAATGAAAAACTTGTTGGAGATCATTTCCCTACAACCGAATCACATAGCGTTGATCGCGAGCAACTGCTTGGTTCAGTACTATCTGAAAATGAAGTGAATGGTCCTCAGATAAGATCTAGTGCCAGAGTATTTAAGAAAATGAAGCTGGAAGCTACTGCACCTGTTACTCCAACCACATCAGTAAGTATTACATTTTGCACTTGTAAGAATTATTAATATTTCTGGTTAGAGGTGGCGATATTTTTTGATGAATTTGAATAAAAGTTATTTCAGGAATGTCAAAAGCAGAATTTCTGAATGCTTAATTTTCCAAAAGGACAACAAAAGAATAAGAATTATAACAAAGCTCAATATTTTAAATGATGTAATAATTTTTAGATGGTTGATAAAAAGGAGAAAAAAGATGAACCCAAATCGGAAGTTAAAAAAGTGCTTAGTAAATCATTATGGAGTCACGATGAGAAAATAATTTTTTTTGAGGCAGTAAATGAATATGGAAGAGATTTTGAGAATATTCACCTATACATTAATAACAAATTGAAGAAACGTGGCGCTAGTGAGGATCAAATGAAAGCCAAAGATCAAGGTAATGATTATTTTAGACTTATTTAATAAGCATATTTTATTAACATCTGCAAGTATTGCTAGTGAGGCAAAGTATTAGTCACCTTTAGAAATTTACATTTATAAAATTAATTTCATTTCAGTTCGCCAGTTTTATTGCAGAATGTTTCATGAGGTGTCCAGACATGTAAAATTTTCCAATAAAGTAAAAAAAGTGGTGCAAGAATTATATGGAATTATAAATTATGGTGAACTCTATAAGAAATTGGGACGAGTGAGTGAAAAATCTTGCATGAAATTGAGTGAATTAATTTATCGGGGGTCGACAGTGCTTCGATCAAAAGGTAATAATTAAAACTGTCTCAAATGGCTGCTCAAAAATATTTACCTTCAAGGGAGGAATGTTAGAGTGAAAACCCCCATGTGTCGCGCTTTAAGAAAACTGAATCAACTGGACGAGAAATATGAAGACCTACAACTTCCAAATAGGGTGCTTGTTGAGATAAGACCCAAGGACATGATATCATTTTTAAGAGTACAAAGTATGGCTCAGAATCCGCGTGTTAGGACAATTCTACCTCTGCAAAAAAGACTTAATTCTTTGTTGATGTGTTTGGATAAGAGGTGGAAAACAGTAGACGCTATCACATTTGAAAAGTCTGTTGTTTCGTCAAATTCCATTACAAATCCTTGCATTCCACCAGCCAAAGAATCTGAGAAAAATAAACGAATTTTTAGTCCTCCTCTGAGACTATCCCCGCCAGCAGATGCTAAAATAGAACTCCCTTCAATTAATCTTAGTGATTATCTGACAAGGTTAGTTCATAAAATGATCATAATAAAATTTAATTTTATGTATTGTAAGTAATAATTCAACATTTTGCCACAATTTCCAGAATAAATCGTTATTGATAAATTGATAAATTGTGTCAGAAATTATTCAGTTTTTGGTCTATTCAAACTTAAAAAAAAAGTACAAACAATAAGTAATTTTTTTTGCTTACTTATACAGGGTATTTGAGAACATATGCTAAAAACTGAAGGGCGTGATTCAAAATTGAGTTTGTTACATAAATGAAAAATAATATTTTTATTTTTTATCTTAAAAACAAAAATATTAGATTAGTATTACTATTACTTGCTTATTACTACTTTCTGCATATTTTTTTATTTTTTTTCATCATTAAATCATCAAATAAATTTCGATAGATGAGTTTGTTAGAAACTTTTTACTCTCCTCCAATTTTTTTTTAATAAAATTTAGTTACCAAATAAAAAAATAAAAAGTAATGCACATTGAAACTCTAATATTTTTGTAAAATATTTGTATATCTCTGCTTTTGATCCAATTTTATTAACTACAACAAACCACCATTTTATATATGCAATCACCCCCTTAAGTTTTTCGAAACAGATTACTTTGAGCCTATTCATACATAAAATTTTCTACAGAAAGTGTTACCGAAACTAACTTGTTATCCAAAAAAATGTGATGCATTATATTAAGAATGATTGAGTAGAATTTTAATTCATAAATATTGAATTTGCCAAATTCAGTGCCCTGTATATTCAATATTTCCAATTAGATTTTTTTTGTTATTGAGAAATAAAGCGCTACCATATCTCAATTATATCAAAAATTATGATTCAAAGAAATGTTGCTTACCCACCTGGTGCAACTGCAATATTTTTAAAATGCCTGTTTATAATTCAACATTCAACAAAGAAAAAATTCTATCAGATGGGATCTTGTTTGGTTCAGCCTGTATATATTTAAATATTCTTGAGTGTTAAGTGTAAGGAAGTTTCCTAAAAGAGTTTTTAAAGCAATTTAAAGGGTATTCCTTGTTAGGCAAACCATATGCTTGACAGCATATGAAAGCCGAATCGGTCTGGATACCATTAGCGATCCGAAAGTAATGTCAAAAAAAAAGAATCTAAAGCAGAAGACGGAAGTTGACCAAAGGTGCGATGCAGTTCCTATTGATAAAGCCCTTGTAAAAGTCGAAGAAAATGAGGCAAACAGTTGCACCGAAGCGGAGCCGGACGTTTTGGCTGACGTGGTAGACGACGCGGTCAACACAATCTTATCTCTTCAGCAGAAACTCGAAAGGCCGGATTCCGAGCAAAGCGAATCCGAAGATATAAAGGTAAAAGTTGTAGAAGCAAAAGAGTCGCCAGAGGTAAAAGAGGTACCCTTAAGCGCCGAAGATATAGAGCGAATAGCGAAAATTAGAAAGGGATGGGTGGAGAACGATGAGAACATATTGACAATTGGCGAAATATATCTTATGTGTGGAGCCGACTTCAAACTTATTTTGGAGTACAGCTGGGATCAGAAGGAGATAAAAACGGAAACTGACATATGCAGAACTCATATTACAGATATGGAGAATGCCAAGCCGGGTGATGGTTGCGACCAGAAACGCAAAAATTTAAATCATGCATTGTCAAAGCTTTTATCACTGGCTAAGCTTCACTATAAGCGCGACATAATTAAGGTCAGTACTATAGCATTAAATGTTTACACAAAATTATTTATTGACAGTTGAATCATACTTATTTTTAAAACCATTATTATATATTATTATTTATCTTATTAGTCAGAAAAACGCTAGATTTAATGACTTGACTGGTATTATAGCCTAGGCTATTGATTTGCTTTCCTACATCATTGTTTCTCTAAATTTTATACAAAATCGCCTAATTCCATTTCGGTTTCAATTAAAATTACGACTAGTCCAGAAATCAAAGAATGTTACAACAATCAAACACAGAACCATTGACATCTGTCATCTCTGTGAATTGAATAAGGACCGAATACACAACACTATCACGTAGGTCGGCTCTAAAATGGGAATTTAAAATAATTGATATCATCTTTGATTGTGTTCGTATAGAGGGTGTCCTGAAATTAGACGTCAAAATTTTAACCACGTATTCTGTGACCCACAATAAAGATAAAAGTTTGCATAAACTAGGGTCCAAAACGTCTTAGTTTTTAACATACAGGGTGTTAAATTTGAAGAGATGATGGCGATTTTTTGTAAATATTTTTAAATTGAACTAACTTAAACTTAGTATTGGATTTTCTTCAGGGGTGGGTAACACATGGGAGGTGTGGGAAAAATTTGCTCTAAATTTTTTGTTTGTCGAATTTTCGTAATTTGGACTGCAGAATTTAAAAGTCTGAAGTTTTTTACGTAAACAAGTTACCGTTGTCGCACCTCGCTGGAATACGCCTTTTTCGAGAAAAATGCTTTTGAAAATTTAATTACAATTTTTTTTTATTTTAATGTTTACAATGGAGACTTGGAAGTTAATGACGCGTGTTTGTGTTGCTTTTAATTTTGTTCATTGTTGGTAAAAAATGTTTTTTTACTTTTTTTTTAACATTCTACCAACCTAAAAAACAAATTGTTGCAGAACTAACAATTATAATAGGCTATTTTTTAAGACATTAAAAAAAAATACCTTCAAGGCTAATTTCCAACTAATCGTCACCGACAGAGGTAGTGCGTCGCGTCGGTCGTACCTTATTTACGTAGAAAACTTCAGATTTTCAAATTTTGCAGTCCAAATTACGAAAATTCGAGAAACAAACAATTTGTGGCAAATTTTTTCCACGCCTCCTCTGTGTTACCCACCCCTGAAGACAATCCAATACTAAGTTTTAGTTCGTTAAATAGAGCCTAAAAAAAAATGTTGACGTCTAATTTCGGGAAACCCTGTATATAGCAACGCCTATGCAGAACTAGGCCGCTAGGCCAAGTATCGCTAGATAGTCCTTTAATATCATTTGCAGAAAAATATATTAAGTAAATTAAATTAAATAAAAATTTAAAAATAATTATTTTTGATTAAAAACGTTTTTGATAAATAAGTCATAAAAACAACAAAGCAAATAAAAACGCAATGTAATCTACTTGATCTAGTGTTCTTGTGGTCACATTTGCCCCAATAAGAACGCTCTGTTCAAAAATGTTTCTGAAGAGACTATTACGAAAACTAAGAAAGTGAAGACTCAAAATACCTTTGAAGATGACACTCCCGCAGATGATGCTCAATCTATGTACATTCAGCCCAAAATTCCGCAGGGTGAGACTAACTTATCCCTCGACCATCACCACCTAGCGTTATTATGCCCCCATTTTTGTAGCCGTGGGGCCCGTAATGCAGCTGCAGCTGAACTCGATCCAGAAGCTGAAGCCAAAATACTGCAACCGTAGAGTGCGTAAACCGCTTTTGCGCACTAAACACGTGGTAGTGGAACGCAAGCTCCCTCTGTTGCCCAATCACGTAGAGAGTGGTCACCAAATTGTTCGAATGAACATAATATCTCAAGAACCGCTCGTACAATGTCCAGAAGACTCCAAAGAAGATGCCGAGATCTCCTCAATCCCTCCGAGTCCATCAGCCATCCTTAAAGAGAACGAGGGCGAGTGGATCAATTCGGAAGTCACTGACTATTCTCTGAGCAGCTTATTGGGCCACCTGGAGAGTCCCGTTAAGACAGGAGCTTCAACTAGTACCAATATGGGGACAGATCTCTCGTCGGAGGTGGACGCCCATCTTCAATCCTTGTTGACGCAAAGCAGTCTCGATTTTGCAGCAAACTTTGCCGATCTGGCAGCGAGGGTTAATAGCGAAGCGCAAAATTTGTATATCGAACACAAACGCGAATGTTAGTTTCAGTATTAGCAGTAATAATCTTAGCAGTTTAGCCCATTTTACATTTTGTTACTTTTTTTTCAATAGATTTTATTTATGATAATGCCTTATTTGATTAATCTGTTTGCGTTCTTCTCCTTCACACCCCCATATCTACTTTTTTTATAGGCTACTCTCGTATCTAGGGTGTTGAAGCATGAAGTAGCATGGAACATATACGACTCAACTCGATGGCGTATTGGAAGTATATCGGAAAGAAAAAGATTTAAAAATTAGGTACCGCTCATACTACATTTTGGGATTCTACGAAACATTCTGAAAGCATCGATTGTCGAAATAATCTTTCAATCATTTTAGGTAAAAGTCTGAAATTTTGTTTTGCCAAATGGGAGGCTGCATCATATTATGACAATATTTAAGTTGTCGCTTATAGGGTGTTTACAAAATTATGGAAAATATATAATGGTATATTTTATTGCGGCAATAAAAAGAACGATTTATTCTTGTTTTAAAAGTGTTAGAATTATTTGGATTGGCAACTGCAATTGTTTTAATATGTTTTTTGGGTTACGGGTTTTTGTTTGATAACAAATAACAAAATTTCTTAGCTAATTGTTTGATTCAATTGTCAAAATATATCGCCACAGCTTACTATTAAAACAGCTTCAATTGCGTTATTCTAATTGGTTCAAAATATATATGGCATGTTATAATACTTTTAGTACAAGAATGAATCATTTTTATTGCAGCAATAAAAGACAGAGGGCCATTTAAAATTCAAGCTTAATTTACGTTTATGTATTCTACAAAATGTGAATTATTTCGTATACACCCTATATGCGATATCTTAAATCTCATGTCACTGAAAAACCGTAGATAAAATTTCCGATTTTTATCTCCAAATTTTCAAAAAAATTATTTGTATCTACAAAATAGCTCAAAAGAGCTATAACTTATATTACATAACAAAAAATTTTCATATAATCTAAAAATTTAAGATTAATTAAAAAAATGACTGATGGAGCATAAAATTGAAGATTTAGCTGCGAATGTAATTATTATTTTGAATTGAATTTACTTTCTCAAATGTAAACTATAAGGAAAGTTACAAAAGTTATAAGTTTTTTGCAATATGCTGGCACAAAGAACAATCGAGCATCATTTAAATTGAGAAATGAGAGAATTTTTGACAAGTATTTTTTATTATAAAAAATTGTATATGCAAAAAATAATTATAAAATAGCCAATCCATTTTACTATTATTTACACAACCTCGTTGCTTTTCATTTTGGAATTATTACCTCTTACAAACCTAATAATCAACTTTACAATTCATAAATATAAGTTACATAACTCTAAATATCGAAATGTCTAATATGACGGAGAAAAGGCCTCAATACGAGAATTCCTAAGGCAGTAAAATACTGAGCATGAATTAATTATCAATGTTTAAATTAGTAGTTCAAATGCTTCAGGCCCCTCATCAATGGTACCAACAAAGCCGACGGCCCAGCCTGTTGTAAAAACGGATGTGCCAACAACTCCTGCGCGGTAGCCCTTTGCAATGGGTCACGCACTAACATCTTGTCCAAGAATGACTGTAGCAAAGGAGATACTTTCTGTAGATTCTTCACTTTAGGTGGCGGCATCTCCCTGATGCGACGCATTGCTTGTAGAGGGGGTTCATTGAAAAACGGAGGTTCTCCGTCCACCATTTCAATGACCATAATTCCCAGAGACCATATATCCACTTCTGGTCCGTAGGGTAGCCGGGATATCACCTCTGGAGACATCCAATAGGGTGTGCCCACTAAAGATTTGCGTTTGGGAAGCTCTTGGGAAACCTGAGCGCAGAAACCGAAGTCCGAGAGTTTGACTCGGCCATCGAGAGCTAGGAGGATTGAATCTGACTTAATGTCACGATGGATGACACCCTGGGAGTGTAAAAACGCGAGAGCTTTGAGGCATTGTTTACACACAGTTGCAATTTGCTCTTCATCCATCTTAGAATGGGTCACTATGTCAGTTAAAGCCCCACCTTCGAGAAATTCCATGACCACCCACAACTCATCATTGACTAGGTAACTGTCAAACATCTCTACTATGTTTGGATGCTGGTAATCCCTCATGATTACTACCTATAAACAAATCAAGAACTTTTCATTGTAAAATGGTATTCAAAATAATGTCAAATAATTTTCAAAAAAATGTTCTTAGTGTCGTACAGATAATCTTATCCATTATTTAAATTTGAAGCACTAGATTATGTCAATAAAATACCTCATTAAATAATAGTTCCCTTCTTTGTTGTTTTCGAAGATCCATTTTCTTTACAGCCACCTGCCTTCCAGTACTTTTATCATTTGCTATGCACACTGTACCTGTTGAGCCCTCACCAATCTTTACAAACTTCTCTAGGTTTTCACGAGGGTCCTTTGGAGATACAACCATTTGTAAAGCAGCACGGAACTGAAATTAACAATAATATAACAAATAAACTAGTTTTGCTTTGATTTTATTATTTAACTTATTATATATGGATTTTCAATGTATTTTATAAGAGAAATAAAAATTCTTTACATTCACCTGTTCATGTGTGAGTCTTTGTTCATTGTGCTTTGTGGATATTTGGGGCCCACTGACTAACGGCGTCGGAACTCCATTTCTAATATTTTGATTTTGGTCAGATTGCTGCTGCAGACTATGATGGGAACCATAGCGTACGTAAGGACCTAACTTGGTGGTTGCCTCTGGCAAATGTTCCACTCTGGGACCCATGGCAGTAACTTGCGGACATTCCCCCCAAGAATGTATTGCCTGCGGCTCTGGTACCACAATGTTTGGTTTCTCCGTCATATGATTTCCTGGTGGCCTGCCCATATCCGGTTTTGTGTATGGCAGAACTTGTTCCTCCGGAACGATTGGAGGAACGCTGGTGATATTTTTGGTGTCCCATCTGCGTAAGGGACTGGAGGAACGCAGTGAATTTGATCGCGCTACATTTGAAGTTTTGGGAAGACTGATACCATTGTTAACTTTCTGCACTTCATAGTTGCTAAACCTTGTTTCAGACCTGTGATCGCCTCTGACGATCGTCTTCAAATCTAAAATTTCCGTGGGAGTGATTTCCGAAGGGTCAACTAAGGGTAGAGGCCTGTTTGTTGACTTTAATATCTGATTGTTTCCCACAATAGAAGCCCACTGTAAAGGAAGACCCACATATTTGCCTTCACGTTTATCGAAACCCGTATGTACCCTATGCTCAAAATTAATCGGAGGTGAAATTTGCAGCTTTTTCTTTTTCTTGGAAAACATTTTTTAATAAAAGTACCGTTCTTCACATGTACTCATCTGTCAAACAATACGCAATACCGAACGGCCTTCTTTTAAGTTGCTATTGCGCCATAGGTTACTCGGGAATTTTACAGTTTCCTCGTTATTAAACAAAATTATAACGGAAATTTAACAGCAATATCCAAAAAAAATCAAAACAAGTTTCTAGTCGCAATCATAATAAACGTTGTTACAAACTGTGACCATAGCAACGAAGATATAAGCCCATAGATAAAATTTGTTACTTTTGGTTAATGACTTAAGAAAAATTTTGAAGTCTTGTGTTAACGTGTTAACCTAACACTTACAAAACAATTTCTGGATGTCAACATGAAACAAGTTTCTTATAGCTGATATATGAGCCCCTACCTAACACACGAATTTTTGGATTGACGATGAAAAAATATTGAAATAGCACATTTAATATACTTGTGCGCAATTACTTGAAATCTCATTTTCAACAACCAACATGGCCCCTGACAATTCATTAATTCCACAGGTTTCAGCTTAGATGTGGTATTTATCAAAATGTACCCAGATCTGGTTAAAGGTTTTAGGAAAACGAAATTAGTGCCTGGAGATTGCTGTTTGGAAAGAAAATAGCGCAAAATGCAGGCGAGTAGTGAAAATTAGAGGCATGCGCAGATCATTCCCATCTCTAGAAAATATCATAGCTGCCCGATGTGCATCAATTTTTGCAGTAGTAGGGTGACAATATTTTCTAATAGCTATGTGGATAGTTTAGAAGGATAACATATTTTAGTCTTTTGATACTGTTATTACTAAAAACGTTACAAAAAAGATTTTTCTGTAAACTTTGCTTAAACCAATTCTTTCGATTTGGCTGACAACACATTTATACGAAACACATTACGATTTGAGAAGAAAAAAACGACAACAACAAATTATTTTATATTTATTTACACATCAGAATTGCATCCTCAATTGCGCGTCCACATAAATTACATAAATAGCTCCTGCATACCATACAAACTACCCATAACACAATTCAAAATTCCATATACATATATATGAACAAAAAATCATTATAAACAATATAATGAATAAAAATTTAATCAGTTTCGAAATGGTATCTATAAACAGAAAAAAAAATCACCTAACCTATCTTATAGTATTTTACAAGGGGCACCAATTTGCATTATTAAATGTTCGTAAATCACTTTCTATTATTTTATCTGCGTCCTAAGGTGCTGTAAGAACTCGTGATAAGATAATGAGTTCTCCATTCTATCCTCCACCAGTTTCTCAATGAAATCTGCTTTAACTGGACTAGTGTCTTTTATCACTTGTAAGGTGGCAGCATGCGGTTTGACATCATTAAGAAAATCGATGAATTTATGCAATCTTTGGTTATCTAGGTTATCGAGCGCGGGCACTTCATACACTTCATCCGGAATCAAAGAATATTCCGACACTCCAAATACATTACTCAGAAAAGCTTTGGACACACTGGCACCTACAAAAATCATCATGTGGTCGCCGCAGTCCATCAGAAATGCTCCTCTGCTTTCCAAACAACGTGCCGTAAGCTGAAGTCTGGGAGGCTGAGGCACTGTTTCAGACTCAAAGTCGCTGACAATCTCTTGCTCCTCTAGGTTATGTATTGGGTACAGGTCTGGGTATATCTGTTGTATGAGCAGATAGAGTGGCTTGGTTTTCATGTCAATCATTGCCTTAACTCTGTCGTCTAACCTAAGTAACGAAAAAAAAAAAGTTGGTTGAGATAAACCTAGGTAATAGAGTTTACACAATTAAATTAAAACAAAAAATGTACAGATTTTCACAGTTTGGGAACACCTGACTATGACAATATTACGACACACACATATATATATATATATATATATATATATATATATATATATATATATATATATATATATATATATATATATATTTCTAGTTTGTGAGTTCTTGGATCCTTTTGATTTTATATATTCTTAAGAAATGGTTCTTGGGTTTTTTTTGGTCCTTTTTTAGTGAAATTAAAATAAGTTTCCGTTACTTGTGAAACATTTTATTTTTTGCGACGTTTCGGCCTTCAAGACCTTCTTCAGACATTTAATTTTAACCTTAAGCCAAAAATCAACGGTTCACTATATAGTTGTTTGGTAATTTACGGTTTTACAACATTCACAACAGACATATTGAATATGTAAATCGAGAAGCCACATTGATAAGACGACGAACCAAAACAATAATGCGTATTTTAGGGTAAATGGAAAAATCTAATTTGTTTTGTAATGTCCAGAAAGTTTAAAGAATTATCTAGTTCTGTCTGTATAGTAAATTTTATATGGTTATGTATCTACACTATCAGAGAAATCCTTTACTCCGAGGATGTTTATGTATGATATCTATATTGTCCATGAAATTTTCCGCAAGTAGTGGTCTAAGTGGTTTTCCCATAATTTATATTTCTTTAGCAATATAAAATTGACCATTAAATTATCTAGCAAGTCTTGTTTTATGATATAGTCAACTTGTCTCTGAGTGAGTATATTGTCTATTATGTTTATTATGTCAATTGGTGGAATGCTAGGAAATAGATTTTGGACGTCAAATGAAACTAGAATTACCTTAGGAGGAATTTTAATGTCTTTAACCTTGTAAATTAGTTTGAACAAATTTTTGATAACATATCTAGGTTTAAAGGCAATATGATATTCTACATTTTTTTTTAATCTTGTCGAGAATTTAACTGATGGTGCTGTTACAAAAGAAACTACAGGCCTTATTGGCATATCATGTTTGTGTAAATTAATTAAAGAATATAACTTTGGAGTTTGATTCAAAATTTATATGGGACAAATATTTAAGAAACGCATTAACCAACATAAAAGGGCGTGTTAAGGGTCCCAATAGGGTCGAACCGTTCACCGTTGGCTTTACCCTTTTGGGATACGAAATGGTAAAAAAAACGAACACGAAAGGCAAACGACTGTGAAGACTCGCGTTTGAAACTCGCGGACTTGCGGAATCGGCTCTGTTTCTGGCGGCACACCACGCGGAAGTGTCTTTGAATCTCTATGTCAAAAACTTCCTCTTTATTCTGTGCGGTTGCGCACAAGCCGTCACATGGGTTACGCGGGATTAAGAAACTGGGTGGGCGCGCCAATTTAAATAACCGATCCCAAAAGTCCTTTAACCCGACTTTCGCGAGTTAAACGGATTATTGAAAATAGAAACAATGGATTCTGAACAGGGCGTATAAAAATAGAAGTTTGGATTCTAACTATGCCATTCATTTAAATTCAGAAATGCACAAGTTTGACAATAATTTTGATATTTTACATAATTACAAATACAAATTTGTTGGAAGCTATGGAGATTAACAAAATGAGATATTCGAATCTACTACTTAATGACCAATTGGATTTAATCGCGTCTCCGTTGTAAAATTTCAATTTATAACTAAATAGGTGTCAGAATATTGTCATAGTATGTATTTCATAAAGACACGGTGTTGCCGAAACAGTTGTCAAAAATCATTAAATTACTGTGAAAAACTGAACATCTAATTTAATTGTGTTGCATGGATTTCCATCAAGGAAAAGAAACCTCAGTTCAATTAATAGAATTTACTTTTCGCGTCTATATAGAATAGATAAAATCTCACCTAGTTGAAGTACCAGTTCGAAACGCTATATATTTCAAAATTGCTGACACATACAGCGGAAGCAACTTCAGGCAATCTGGTAAAAACAATCCAGGCGATTTAGTGCTGGCATTTAGTGATGTGTAACTGCTTATTATATCTACAGCGGCATTAATAAAAGCTTCCTTCGCATCAGATAAAGATGATTGTGTAGACCTGAACACACCAGATTTACAAAAGGTTGATACCAAATCAAAGCTCACCTATCTACTGCCAATTTGGTTAACAGCCCTACTATACACTGCTGATCGGCAGAATGGATGATATCTTGGAGAGTTGATGTAACAGGTACACATAATGTGTGCACCCGAATTCTTCTCTCTCCTTTGCTCGATGTATACAATAGTGCAGCTTGAAAGCATACAGTCTGCACATCCGAAAGGCTTTCTTCTATAGCGACTTGCATACCAAATGCTGCATCAGGATTGATATTTGGCAAAGATAGCAGGTCTGTCGATCTTACAAAGAAATTACCTGTAAAATAAATATTCAAGATAGTTCAAATATTGCATAAGTTCCAACAATGATGAATACTTTTAATTAATATATAGATTTGCCGATTCAGCACCCAGATTAAAGTAAACCTTACCATGGAAGGAATGAATAGATAAACCCCTGGTACATCTAACGCGCATCACTGCTTCAAAACCAATTTTTCTAGTCAAATATCGTCTTAAGCACTTTTGAAATCCATCCACTGCTAGGGGTTTTGTTATTTTATATAAGGGAAAATGATACACACAACCGCCACTAAATCTAAAACACACATCCAAGAATAAAATTGAAATCAAGGCTAAATTATAACTACTACATACTTGCTTATACCAGAAATTGTTGCCAAATCTACATATTGGGAATTGACAATGAACAAATCGACTGCAATTTGCTGGCTACTACACTCCAGGGCGAGTCGTTTGTAAAAGTCATTAGCAGGATTTAATAGTGTCGCTTCAGCAGTGTGTCTATCGTTTGGATTTTCCCGTGATGTGAGAGCTCCAGGACCAACGTTTGGGAGTGAAGCTTGGAAAACTGTCACCCGGCCACCTAAGTAAGGAAAAAAAATGCAACACAAACAAATGAAATAACACGAATCACTAAATAATCAAAAGTTGCGCAACAAACCTGTGTTGGCCATCAGCTTGTAAGCCACCTGCAAGGCGGATCCTAAAGCGGAATTATCGCAGTATGTGTTTTTGTATTTCCCTGGCAACTGACTAAGCAATTCATCTATAAGCTCCATGCGATCTTTCAGGTTTACTAGTAGACCGTCCGGCGCAGGCAAGAAAATATCATCTATATCTAAAACAACCATCTCATGGGGCTGACTTAAACCTTCTCCCAAAGAGAAATAATGCAGCGAGGAATCATAGGCGAGAAAACCCACTTGAGTTCGAGAGTCTCCCGGCACATTAGCAAGTTCTTCTGTTAGTACTGAGCAGAAAGTATCTAAATAGCCGTTTTGCACTGCCAATCTGTAAAAAATACTTACTTTACACCACTAAAAAATGAAATATAATTGAAATTAAACTGAAAATAGGTCATACACAAAAACTTGAATCTCAGATACTTTCGAAAAACCGATGAAATTGAATTTTTATCTTTAATTTTTAATTTACAGGAGTCGGCAAAAAATGGGTTCTTTTAAAGAACCTTAGGTATAACTAAAAGTCTGTGTTTCAGTTATCAGTTTCTTTGACATGGTTATACCGACCATACAGACACCTAAAACTTTTCTATTTAATGTTTCCACATATTGTACACGGTATTCGATATATTTCGTGCTATATTATAAAATATAGTTAGTGTCTTAAATGTGCAGCTATCATCATCTTCAGATTTGACAGGAATTTAGAAGTCCGTACTCACATTTAAACCTCAGAAGTTGGGCGAAATCAAAAGTCATGAAATATTTTTTAAAAAATTTGAAATTTACCTTTGCTTCTAGAAAAAAAAAATTTTTTTCGTAAACTATTTAAAAATTGAACTCGATGAAAATCCATTTATCAAAATAAATAAGAACTAAAAGTTCAGATTTTCACAAAATTATATATGTTGACATGAAAATTGTTTCGACAACACCGTGTCTTCTCAAAAATCGGGTGTCTACAGGTTGAAATGCGGATCTTCTCCTAAAATTTATATTGGACAAACAGGTAGATCCTTCAAGAAACGTATTAACGAACATAAAAGAGCGTTTAAAAACAATAGTCTAGATTCTAATTATGCTACACACTTAAACACAGAAAAACACATTTTTGAGGACAATTTTGATATTTTACATACAACCACAAAAAGTAGAAAATTAAATTTATTGGAAGCCATGGAGATTAACAAAATGAGAAATTTAAATGTATTGCTTAACGATCAATTAGATTTAAATACCTCTCCATTATTAAACTTAAATTCTCACAACATTAATTAAGGTTTTATGGTCATTTTTCGGTATATATAGTAGCAGGTTGTTTGTAAATATTACATTTGATAAAGACACGGTGTTGTCGAAACAATTGTCATGTCAAAATATATAATTTCGTGAAAATCTGAACTTTTAGTTCTTATTTATTTTGGTGAACTATTTAGCCGATTTACGGTTTTCGTTTATCACATAGGCTGTTCGGGATATTCTCGCCCTCAATCTAGATGCGATGACGTTATTTACTATTACGACGTACTGCTTGGTTCCCGAAAACCATTTACTTTATTGAAAAAATTCATATGCCAGGAAAAGTGGGAGATCGAGGGGTATAACGTCAATTGTTTGAATTATATACAGGGTGGGCCGTTTATGGCCAAAAAATCTAAATGAACCAAAAAATGTCCATTTTTGTGGGTAAATTATTAGCGATAAATGAAAAAAAAATAGTATCATAAACTATGTAGAGAGAGAGTTTTAATTTTCGTCTATGATGCAGGGTACGCGAGATATTTAAAAAAATAGAATTATTATTTTAAATCGCAATTAACACTACAAATTTTAATATCTCCCAAACTTTGCCGTGACTTTTTCGTTCGGCGAGACGTGAAAGTGACTTTATACAGGGAGCATGCACAATAAGATTACATCGATTTTGCGAAAGTTCAATAGTGGTCTGCAGGAATACGGTAGGAAAACAATGCGTCCCTATAAGACAAAATAAAAAATACAAAGCTGCGTAATAACTTTATAGACTGCGTAGCGCATAGTACGGAGCAGACGCTTTGCACAGTCACGATTTTTCGAAATCATCAATCTTGTTTAACATCTAACTCGATGTTTTGTGTAAGTCTTTAAAATTTGAAAATGAACCCGACTTGTTGAAAATTATAATTAAACTTAAATTAACATTTTTGACACCAGACACTTTCAAATTTGAGTCTCTATAATCCATACTTCCTCGTGTTTTTGTTATACAAATATATCAATTTCAATTAACATATTTAAATTTTTGTTTGCAATAATACTAAGAGAGCCAATCCCCTTACCTTGAAATATCCAGTAAAAATAAATAAACAGCTGGTTGGGGAGGCCGTAACATGTACTCAGCTGGAGCAATATACTCTAAAGTGCTGCTCTTAATCTCCGGCCTTCGGGATGGATCCCCGTAAGTTTTACTGATCGGGTCGTATTGGAATTCCTCAGGCAATTCATTGACTCTGTAACACAGATTGCACTTCCACCGCTTTGAGTCCACAAACGTCACAAAGGGATTTATGTAAGTCCGGCATGATCGACATCTGACAATTACATTACACTGAATCACAGGCAGATAATTTAAATCTTTGAATGGATGGATCAGCACCCCCAAAGGCAGTCTCGATTTCTGCAGCAAGCTATTCGATTCTGGTATTTTTGTCATGGTACAGCGGAAAATGTCCGGGTGGCAATTCACTTCACCCAGTCCCTGCTGGCCCAGGTTTATAACAGGAGCTTTTACTTTGGTGGGAGGCAATATATTTGGGGTCTGGAGCAGGTCAATGGAATCTGATCCCCACAATTTATTAAAACCCGAATTTATTATCCCCGTCTGTGGGTACTGAGGTTGTTGCATACCATATCGAGATTGTTGTGTTACAGGCTGGCCAAATTGTTGTTGTTGCATTGAGGGTTGAGCAAACTGTGTTTGCTGCATAGGAGGTTGTACAAACTGAGATTGTTGCAATGGAGGTTGGGTAAACTGAGTTTGTGGCATTGGTTGTTGAACAAATGGAGGTTGTTGCATTGAAGATGGAACAGTGGTATAGCTGGTAGGGTTTAAAGGTCTAGGGTAATTTTGTGATTGGGATATTCTTGGATAGGACTGGTAGTTTACCGCCCGCGGCATGCTGGTCTGGGATGGAGGAGGCACCATGCCAAATCGTGGCTGGTTGACCTTTAAAATAAAAAAAAAATTGTTATAGTGAGTGAACAAATTTTAACTGTTGAATTACAAAATCCTAAAATTATTTTAATTTAAGTATTATAAATGTAAATTAAAACAATAAGATTATTGAACTAAATATTGTTAGATTTATTATTTGTATATTAACAATTTTCAGTGTATACCTGTGGCTGATGTGATCCATTAGTGGGCAAATTTACATTTGGTCTATACTCTAATCGAGGCTGATTCATTTGAAGCACAGGCGCAGTTTGTTGACTATTATACATTTGTACACTGGGAGTGCTAGTTCCTGGTTTACTTGTTAAAACACTGGCACTATTAACTAATGGCACATTTGTAACTGTGGGACCATATTTACTAATTTCCTCTATTGAACTTGCGGGATACGAGTTAAATGTACTGAGTTTGGCATCTGACTTTGTGGGCTGGTCAAGCATATTAAACTGGCCCACCTTTTGAGTAATATCTGATATCGAGGGAGGCAACTGGGACTGGGGAATAGTTTTAAATGGAGGGGCCATATGTCCAGTTTTGGTCAACGGGGAAGTGTTCCTCGACGACTCTAATGAGTTTATACCATTGAGAGGGTATGGACTTCTATTAGCCGATGTATTTCCATTTTCTACTCTTTGCTCCGCCATTGAAATGAAATCATTTAAGTTTCGTTATTTTCACAATTTAAAAAATCTACAAGAAATCCTCGTATTAAACCAGAAACCGTTCTTTATAGAATAATAGCTACTGCAGTGTCAGCACTTGAACATGCAAATTTTAAGTTTATTTTATTTTGTGGTACAAATTATAACTAATACCTGTATCGTGGCGATACGATAGCTACTGAAACTAAAAACAAATTAAAATAAAAGCGATTAAAAAATATCACATATCAAAAACGATGAACTGTATGACAATCATTGTCAAATTTACGTGGCCATCAGTAGTACCAACCACAACCATAGTGAATTTTGGATTTACATTTTATCCCATTGTTCAACCAGCATTTGAACTGACTTTTCTAATATCTATGGTCATCCAGAAAGTGAGAGAGAGAAAGAGAGGGATCGGTTCCGTCCGATAATGTTCGTCTGTTCCATGTGATTGTTGTCATTTTTTCAGTTTTTGTTTCATTTATTGTTTGGTAGTTTGAAAGCGATGCGTATAAGCGTGGTAATAAGAATTATCATTGAGTGATATCAATATTTTTCGTTTTATTTAGACAGTGGGGTCAGTAAATTGTTGATCTCGTTAAATGTGCGTTACAAAGCGACCCAAACCTCTGAGTGATTACGTTTAACTTTGTTTTCCGAATTTGAAAGTTGATTTTAAGTACTGAACTGAAAATGAGTGAAAATCTTTTGTTGACAAGCAGGCCTGGTGATGTCAAAGTTCAAATCCAGTCGCCTCAACCGAAAAAGTTAACGCACTTACCCGAGAGACCCAAAGTGGACTTGGCCTTTTCGGATTTAAATTATACCGTCAAACAAGGGAAACGTAAGTAAATATTTTATAACATGTCATTTGCATCTTTATATATTGGATTGTCCTTTAATTAATTTCATTGAAGTGCCAAATATCCAACATAACTCATACATCAAGTTTCCTTCGAAAAAAACTCAAATTTTTGCTCTGAACGCCATATTTTTATTCAAGGTTTTATTCTCGATTTTAATTTGAGTGCATGGTCATTTTTAAAGGTATTTCCTCGGTTTTATGTTCTTGTTATCATTACGTAGCTTAATTATTTCGTACAATATTTGACGTAATTTGAATTGTAATAAGGGAAGGGAAAAAAGCACACGCATTTGTCCAAAGTTTTAAAATCCAAAAAATATTTATTTTATTTCCCAGGTCTAGACAAGTAAACAGGTAAAATTTGATGCAAAAAAGCATCGGAATTAACGATAGAAGGAAAATAGGAAATAACGAGGGAAATCAGGCATAATAAAATAAAATATCTTGATCTTAAAGATCAAAACAAAAGCATCTTTTTACGTTGAACATTATAAAGTACAAAGGAATTTTCCATCTTAAAAATAATTACTACTTAAGAACTGTGGTGTCCTTTGTTTTATAATTTTATCTTGCGCTTGTACCTCCCGCAGATTTAGAAGTTCTTAGTACTCTGAGCCATTAGACTGTCGTCAAGGTAGTCAGGTTTCCGAATATAAACTCATAAATGTTATCAAAGCTGCTCATCGTAAATATGGTTAGTGACGTAAAAATGACAAAGATCAAATATTCGTATCGCTGCACACTGAGAGATTAGCAATACAAAGTTATCCAAAAACCTGCGATTTTAAAAGTCACAATCTTTACCACTTTACCACTTTACCACTGAAATCAAGCCAAATTTGATCGCGTGTAACGTTAATCACGTAAAAAACATTTTGCCCACCCATAATGAAGTTCTAATTACACACGTAAAATTAATCAAGGAAAATTTATACGAAAACCGGCCATCAAACGGAAGCTCGTTATAAGGTCCAATTATAATATTTCAAAGTTGACGTCATCCCTGTCATGGAATTTTTTTACGATGATATTAATTGATTTTTATTTTGTTTTTTGTTTGGAGCGCTTTCGTTGGCGTTCGCAGTGGTTGGTGTCGGGATGGTTTCCTGGTGTCCACCGATACAGAAATAAAAAATAAGCAACGTCTAAAAACGAGTGTAAAAAGTTTGTTGGCTACACCCCTGTCGCCCCTTCCGGTCTAGAGAAACTTCGTTCTGGCTGAACTTTCTCTTTCGTTTTCGTTCGACTTATGATACGAAAATGTCCAAATAATGGAATTCTCTCGATTTTGCAATGTTTACCACCGAAAATGTTTAGACATAAAAGTAATATAAAATCCGTGATGTTTTTTTTCTTGTGGGAAACTTTCGATTATTTACGGCTTTATTAAGTAGGTGCTCTCTAATTTTCAACACTGGCATGTTATAAAAATGGTTGTTATTAAGTAACGGAGCGTTTATATTTTATTCCAAAGATATGGAAATTATTTAACATTAATGAGAGTCAATAAAGTTGCGTAGTAGTCAACAAAGCTAATCTTTAGCTTTAACAGCGTGCATACTTACAGAATTTAATATTGCATCGGTCAAATAATAAACATAACCACGTCGTATTAATTGGCTTTCATGTTACGCACTGATTTTTTATTTATAAAAATCGTGGTTATGATTGAGCGGAAGCGGAATTAATCAATCAACATTAAAAGCGCCATTTCTCTCGATTTGAAATATAAGAACTGGTGGTATGGAGTTGGTTTTGAGTGAAAATTTGAATTCATATGGAAATGAATAATTCACCAATATTAACAACATCGTAAAATTTAGAAGAGGAAAATAAGAAAAAGGGATTTAAATAAAAATCTGCAACCGGTTCTGATTATTTTCATATTATTTTCGAAAAAGTCAGTACTCGTATGTGTTAACAGTGGAAGTTACAGTTTCAATCTAACTGGAACCACCGAAAAAGATAAGAAAAGTTACTGCTGTCTGTCGGTGGTCTTCACTTTTGGGCACTGTCCAAACTGTTACCCGTTTACGACAGGCAAATGAACCATGTGCCTTTCGCGCAGGGAAGAAACTGGGATTGGGATTTACGACCCGTGCCTGGAACCGTTTGATCTAACCCCAGCCTTGGAATCTTCAAAAAAAAAATCAGTTGAGGGATTCTTCTTGTCATTGTTGTGCGCTGAAACCATATAGCTATTAGATAATATAGTGGCTTTACTACGGTAAAAATTGATGCGTCGCATGCGTCACCCCTCAACTGACTAAGTTGTGACATTCCTTAATTTTCCTTTATAATTGATTAATTTTTATAATAACGTAACATCCATCTTTTTCTACATGTATTTCTGCATGGATTTTTAGCAGATAACGATTTTTAACTGCGCAATTTTTTGCGCTTGCTTATTTCGATGGAATTTCGTTTTTTAAATTGTGATAATAAACAGTATAGATAAACTTTCTGCAAAAATGTTTTTACCATGCATATGTTTAGTAATCCCAATATTAGAACCGAAAGAAATGAGGATGTCTATTCGAAGCGATAAATACAATATACTAATTATATTAATTTATTAATTCTCCAAAACTAACTTGTTTTATAATAGTCTTTAATTTTCTTGGTTATGTTTTCCAATACTTCCAATTGTCCATTGGCACTTTTTATAATTATATCTTTACTAGGTGAAGGAATGAGCGTTCTGTTTATAAGAGCTGCTTCTTGAACATGTTTCCACAGATTTTTCTTATGCAAAGTTATATATAGATTTTTAACAGCCATCTTTGATGATTTCGACTTTGTTTACATTTTCAATAGAGGTTAATCCTATGAGGTTATTAATTACAGAATGATGCCGACGTGAGTGCTGCAATTCTGCACTGCTTTTTCACACCTTAACTCCTTTTTTGCCTGAAAATTTAATAGGATTTCGACATATTTTGAGAAAATATTGCCAAAAAAAAAATGTACATATAGGTATGAATTTTTCTTTTCATAGCACATCCTTTATTCGCAGGTAAATAATTCATTATCGGTATTAATTAATTAGATTGGCGAGACAGCAGCCTCTGCGCTCTTGAGTTCTTGGAACCCAGACAGGGTCGGGTCTAGCCCATTCTTTTTTCTATTTTTTACTTATACTTTCTATAACCCATTGTATGTCTGTTGCGTAGCTTTTTGAAATGCTCTAATTTCTATTATTCGCAATGACGTCCATGCCAAGTTAATCCTTAATTTTCCTGTAGAATCACTTCCTTAAATGATAAATTGGTTAAGGCTTTCGCGGCCCGTTGATAAGCTATTATCTTCATTCCAACAACGGAGATGGAAGGACCTCTGAAGAAGCTCGCCACTCGTGCTAGCGAAACGTTAGGAAGTAATTCCAATCGACGACGGCCTTTAAACCCGAATGAAGATAATAACTTCCTTAAATGTTGGGTGAACAGAGTTTGGATAAGTAATTTTTTGTTTCCTTCTTGCTAAAGGGGAAAGAGGAAAAGTATTCTTGTTTTCTGTTCTATTATTTTAGATAGATAACAAAATAATATTTACCAATTTGCACTAAATTATATTATTTTTAATTAGAGGGCATTTTTCATGGGTTTTTTGAGACTTCATGTCATTTTTATAATGTTCCTACCTATTGTTTGTGATAATACACCTCTTTATACGAACTTTTTACTTTTATTTTTGGTATTTTAGTTAGTTTGAGGGGCAATCGCCATCCAAAGTTGGTTGGATTTCGTGGATTGCATAAAAATTTAATGGATTTGAAATTTCACGGATTGCGCAGAATTTATATGGACTTTCAAATAATTTGTACGAATTTTATTGATTTTTAACAATAATTAATAAATTAGAAATCATCAAAAATTAGAGATATATATTAAAATAATAAATAATTAAATTAAAAAATAAAATAAAATAGTTATTAAATAGGTAAGTAAACTAATAAATAAATGCATACATTTTTTAAATGAACATAATTATTTTTTCAAAATTCTCTTAGTTTTTTTATTTTTCTGCAGATTGAAAAAAGTTTTTTCCTTTCGACGTTAAATAAATAAAAGAAAACTTTTATGAGTAAATTATCTATCTTTATTAAAATTAAATTATCTATCTTTATAACTTTAATTACGTAATTTTATTTATACAATTTATATATTTATAAAATAATTTTGTTAATTGTTAATATATATATATGTTATCGAAAAGTTACAATAAAAACCTGAAATAATTTTGAATGTTTGGGTTGAGTGAATACTCTAAAAAATCTAAATTAAATACACCACCAGTAAAGTTCCTTTGATGTAACAACAGTTTTTCTCAAATTTGCTTATGGCTCAACCAAATGTTACACCTGTCGACGCCAATCTACAAATAACTTAATTTTGTGTAATTGGTGTTATTCCTTACTTTTTACAAAACTTATGGATTGCTCCTGCGTCGATTTTTGCCGAGTCGAATTTGCTGACGTTTCGCCAATCATCGGGATGGCTTCTTCAAAGCTTGACTGAAACTGGCTCGCATTTTACTCTATACATGCTTATATATTGTTTGAGGGGGGCGGAGCTAAATGAGGGGCATAAACACCGTCTCAGATGACTGTTTCCCATATTGGTGACAGGTAGAGACCTGAGTCATGGTTAAGATTGTTAAGTCGTTTTTAGATTTATGTAGACTCTCGGATTTTTTGTTGGTAGAAGAATTGTTGCTCGTCAACACAAGTTTCTATATCTATTGGGCCCATCCTATAACTTGTCACTATGCGATGTCATTAGCTTGAAATGAGTTAGACGCCTGTATCAAATTAAGTTAATATTGTGCTCTTGTTAACGGTATTTTTTTTTCGCAGAAGACAAAACGATATTGAAAAATGTCAGTGGCAGGCTCAGGTCGGGGGAGCTCACCGCCATTATGGGACCGTCGGGGGCTGGCAAATCCACCCTCTTGAACATTTTGACCGGGTTCAAGTAAGTGCCTTTTTTCCGCTCACCTCTATTATCTCTAGTTTATTTCTTTTGCTAGTGATATTTCTAAACATTGTGTTCTAGATATGAGTGACTAAATTTTCGACTTGGTATTGTGACAAAAGCCACGCGTTCGTACAGACTGGTACAAAGTCCGAGATATTTTATCTTTACTTTTCAATACAAGGCAGTCGTGTGGTGTGTTCGTGATTCACGTTTCGATTCAGGAAAATTCCTTTCTCGGGATTTTATCTGTTATTGGAAATTAAGTAGTTTCTGCTTTATAATAATTTTTTTAGTTAGCCACACTATTGCGTGTACCTAGTTATTTATTTATTTATTTACTTCCTATTTGGGACACAAACAGGTTAAACCCACAACAGTGCCCTCTTGAGAATCCAAATATAAGTACATAATATTATGCAAAGTTTAGTTAATAATAACAATACATAAGAAAAATACGAAAGAGAAAAAGAAAATAAATAAATGCGATGAATTGAGTCGGGCATAGGCATAGGTTACTTACAACATAACTAATATTTTAGATTGAAAAGCGCATCAAATGCGCCAATCTTATCATTTATTGATTTATTTTTTTTGATTATTTATTTATTATGTGGTATACTTTAAATAAGTAAGAGCAAGAGAAAATTGTGAATCAGATACGAATGTCGATCGGTCTAACGGTCAGTTTTTTCTTGAGAGCGTAAATAAATCCAAGTTTATACAGTGAAGGTTTGCATCTCCCAGCATACGTAATAAGGTGCTTCTAAAGGGAATAATAAATAAACATTGCTATAGAGTAAGACTGGAGACGCATAAGTTTTTGAAAATAATTGCTTATGAGCTAAGCTTGCGGCTTATAGCTGCTGAGAAAATAAACTACCCTGATTCCAAATTATAAAATTTTAAATAATGCCATAATTGTTCGAAAAAGAGCATTGTTTTAATGCCAATCCATCCTAGTGTCAATCCATCATTATTGTTTATTGTTTATTTATCTGATCGTTTATTGAACTACCACTTCTTGTTGCCTTTTATTTTGTAAAGTTTTTATAAGAAAACAACAATAATATGTTAAATAATAATAAATAATAATTCTTCATCCCAAAAGAAAAAAAACATAAAAAATATAATTGGCTACGTCATTTATAGTATTGGGGTTGGTTAGTTGACCACTTCTTAATTGACTAGTCAAATTCGATCAAAATGTTTTAAATAACAATTGTAACAATAATAATATGGATTTGTAGTCAAAGAATACCCGAATAGGATACTTCGGGGAATCCCAGTAAAAATATCCACTTCATTTAGTTCTCAGAACACCGCGAAGGCGACGTAACGCACAATATAAATAAATATAAATTAATAAATAAAAATTTCATTGTATTTTAAAATTTATTTCGTTCAATTAACTGGCCAATTGACAAAAAAAAACAGTTCTCGCCAATTCCACAACTATAGTCATTTATAATGATAATAATCCTAAGCTTTTCTTAATAAGCAACTAAAATTGCAAATTCTTTGACTTTTGTCTTGTTTACAAGCGAAAAAATAAAAATAATCAAAATTGACTTATAATAAATAAACTTAGCTATGCAATTTATTTTAGATATCATTTTTTGGTAGGACGAATTTTTAATTTTTATCTCGACACAAAGCAAATATAGGTTATGAAAAATCAGGTCTGGATTAGCCCTTTGCTACAACATTGACCAAATTTTATCAAAATCGACAAGAGAGTGTTTGAAGACCTTGTATGTTTGAGGCAAATCAATTAATTAGAATTTCTTAAAAGAAGGACTTTTGTGAATAGCTTTTTGCGAGATACCTATAATATCTACAAATATATATACAATTTCTTGGAATTTTAAGAATTCATTCAAAAGATAAGTTATTCAATCTATTTTTCTGAAGAGGAATTGGTAATTTTTGCACTTAAACTTTTAGGCTATTCTCTATCTAAATACTGACTAGTAATCCTTCAGTGCAGTCTTAAAAGCATAGTCAACGAACTGTTTTGGATTGCGACTTATTGCTAGAGTATGGGAGAAATAGAAAGTGATTAATTTCTTCTAAAAAAATATTTGGACTATCATAATTGGAATTAATTGCACTAAATGTCCAATGAGTTCATGTGCTTGAAATTGAAAAAAAAATACACGTTTGCGACGTTTATTGGACTTTAAAATATATATTTTATAGACTCTAATTATTATTTTTACGCAATAGTTTAAATCAATACCTATGTACTTATATTAACCTTTGGTCATCTCCGTGTTGTGTTGTTCAAGGTTCTGTATATAGATTTGAAAATAGTATTGTTAGCTGTTAATTTGGTGCCTTTCATATTAAACATAATCTGTAGTGAATATTTTCTAAATTTGCAATAACAGTTTCAAATTTTAATCGTAGTTTTTTGGTGTTGATAATGTGGTGCGAGTCGACAAATTCCTTGAAATTATCTACCATTTAAACGCTGAAACCGTTTTCCGATATTTTTTAATCAGTTTATTAAACTTTATAGATTCGACCTTATTTCTAGAGTATAGACCATTACTTGACATGCCGGTCATATTATTAAAATTAGTAAACAATTTCGTTAGTCGTGTATATCTAGTTTGATTTTCTAATGCTCCCACTGCACAGCGTATAGAGGTCACAAGGTTAGCAATTAAGCCGTTGCCTAGTAAAATGACATACCTATTTGATAAGATGCGACAAGCATCATACTGGTTGCAGAAATAACATACAACAAAGCAAACACATTCTCCAAATTCCATTAAAATCGGCAAGTGTTTGAAGCAAAGAAATTTAGCAATGGATACGAAGTTGTGGTATGGCATGAGCCAAGACATTACTGCATCATTGTATTATTAATAATATTGTTGTTATTATTTAGAATTTCTTAAAAGTAGAAATACTTTATCGAGCACTTTTTAGCAAAGCATGAGTCCAACTTCAAAATCCACAAGTACGTAAGGTCTCTATATTATCTCCCACTGTGGGAGATAATATAGGGACGTTTGCCGTTTACGTCATTCGACAGTAAATGTCGGATTGCTGTTTTGCAAACACGCATCCAAAAGCTAGTAGAAAAAGTTGATAAACTTTATCGGTCACTCGCTCCGTTCGTGTCAAATAAAAGTCGTGACGAAAGTGACGTTTATCAAGCTTCTTTCTTAATATGCTATTACAATTGAGGGTTTTTCTTATGTGTTGATGCATTAAAATTATGGAGAAAAACTCAAAGTATTAGCGACCAAAATTCTTCACGATAGCAAAATGATCCCAAAATTGCCTACTGGATAACTGATAAAATATAACTCAGCACTTTTATCTCTTGATAAGAAATAAAAAATATAAATCTGTTACGTAGTCGGAGCCAAAACAATTAAGCTTCTCATTCATTGGCGCGATTGAGCTTTATTTATTTAACTCTCTAAGTGTTGGCGGTCACACATAACTTCAAACTCTGGATAATAGATTTTAAAACGGCTCTCGATTTGAGTAAATTCCTCTAAAAACGCATTCGGCATTTTTTTATTATTCTACCCAATAAGACGACTATTGTCATAATCGGACATCCCACTGCCTGACAACAGCGACACGTGTCAAACATGTTGCCAAATTTTTGGGAAATATTTCAATCAAATATTTCATGTTAATTAGGATAAAAAAAATTGTAAAGCATATTTATAGTACATGGAACGCAACAACACAACAAATAAAAGTGTTTCTCATTCATAGTTCAAACGGCTATTTGTTTGATAATTTGCAGTGTGTAGAACTTTTTAATGTATCCTGTTTTGAAAATAATGAGTTCCCGAATGACTTAGTGGTTTTCTTAGAAGCAGTCAGTGTTGAAGAGTGACTTTTTTTCGTCATCCTGGTTGTTTAAATCAATGATGCTCAAATTTGTTACTTAATAATGGATTGACTTTGGATTTGATCCAATTTGGTTGATTTGGCAACCCAGCATCTTATTGCCTGGCTTACCGCTACTATCACACTCACTACCCGCATTTGATAGTAATTCTTTGGAGTTGTGTTTCTGGAATGATATACTGCGACCGCTTTAACTAGTACTTTTGCCCTTTGCACCTCGATCCTCATGTTGACTTATTAAATTATGTGGTGCCATTTCAATAACACCTTGTATTAGCCTTTTCACTGTTTTTATTTATATATTTAATCTATTTAATTTATTATTTTATATATATATATATATATATATATATATATATATATATATATATATATATATATATATATATATATATATATATATATATATATATGTATATATATGTATATATATATATATATATATATATATATATATATATATATATATATATATATATATATATATATATATATATATATATATATATATATATATATATATATATATATATATATATATATATATATATATATATAATATATATATATTATAGAGCCTTGAAAAGATAAAATAATCCTGTTCTGAAAAAGATATTGAGAAGACTATATGTTTGGGTTGATATTTCAGTAGATGTGGGTGGGCTATTTGAAAATACCTCAACAAAACAGAATCAATCGTTTGCAGGACCGACGGAGTACGTGGACAGGTTTTAATGAACGACAAGGAAAGAGATTTAAGTCAGTTCAGAAAATTGTCTGCTTATATTATGCAGGACAATCAACTACATGGAAATTTGACGGTGGACGAAGCTATGACTGTTGCTGCAAAATTGAAAATCGGGGAAAAATCACGACCCGAAAGAGAGGACATCGTATGTATTTCGTTGTTAAAACGTAATTGTTCGACAAACTTGTGCTTTGCTGAATCGTAAATTTACTGTAATCGGATCAGTAATAATGTTAGGTATGATATCGTCAAATAAATGTAACCTAGAAACGATGGTTACATCAAACAATTGTGTATTTATTCATTCGTTAAGGCAAGAAACCGCAATCGTTGTTCAGATCTTTTTTTTTGTTTTCTCTTAGTAACTACAGGGAGGCACACAGAATAATAATTTAAATTCTCTGGTTATAAGTGTATTTGCAGTGAATAATAAAATGTGACTAGAATGTCGTTCCGTCTTTTAAGATTAAATTTTGTTAACCTTGACATGAACGGTTTGTGGCAAAAATAAATTCTTAACGGGTATAATATACATACGGCATTATAACATGCAAGGTGTTGAACTGAATTTTTATGGGTGCGTTTTCTTTCGTTTTGATATAAATATTGGTATTATACTTCCAAAAGTTGAAAAATCACATTGTCAATTTGTTCAGGACGAAAACAAGTTTAAAATTTTTCGATAGATATCAGAAATATTGGACACATTGGGACTAATAGATCACAGAACGACAATGACGAGCGGCTTATCCGGAGGTCAAAAGAAAAGGCTTTCAATTGCCCTAGAGCTCGTAAGCAACCCTCCGATCATGTTTTTTGACGAGCCGACCAGCGGGCTTGATTCTTCATCGTGTTTTCAGTGTATATCTCTTTTGAAGACACTGGCTAGAGGTAAGACATTTGGTTTGACCTATTCCGGTGGTGATTCTTTGCAATGCGTGTTTTGATTACATCGGTCTATAGTTTTGTTCATTTTTGTCGCTCAAAATGTGTTAATAAACAACATACCCAGTAGTTCCGGAAATATCTGAAAAAGGAATCTACATGGCCATATTCAATCGCAAATTCCGAATACGCTACTTGCACTTAATTTTTTTATTTGCTAGAAATGTTTATTCGTAGATTTAGAACACAACTGTCAAATATTTTTGACAATGCACTAACTAACACCAAAATTAATTTTACGCGTATTTTGAGCTCGAGAAATCGAGCTGTGACGTGCAAAGTAATGTGTGACCTGCAGTTAACCTCAAATGTTAGACCCTTTTTCCTCTCTTATAATATTTAGAAGCTTATGTCACTTTATTGGTTATTAACGGATTATAACCTGATTTTTGCGTCGTTATTTTGAATTCAACATTTTTAGTTTTTGCACGTTCTTGTTGATATTACGTTAAACGGTTAGAATAAGTATGGCTTTCTCGCACTGGGATAAGTATTTGATGAAGTTTTAAGATGCATAATGATGCATTAGATATCTTAATTAGGAGGCTTGAAAAAGATGAAACCGGTGTTAAATGTGGCAGAATTACCTTATGGAATTGTATTCAACACATGGGTTTTAGATTTAAAAAAAAATGACAAAAGGCAAGTTTCGTTTAGAATTCTTAGAATTAGGATTTACAGAGAACAACAAAGGCCAATTATTTACTTGGATGAAACCTGGTTCGACACTTATGATACCCCGGAAAAGGGTTGGGTTGACTCAACTGATAAGTGTAAAATAAACGCGCCATCAAAAAGAGGTAAAAGAATAACTATTTTGCATGCTGGCTCTAAAGATGGTTGGATTCCAAATAGACTTTCTCTTTCTGCGAAAAATATTAAAGATTCTTCTCTGGATTACCATGAAGACTAATTCCAAACATTCCTCCTAATAGCGTAATTGTAATGGACAATGCAAGTTATCACAGTAGACAGTTGACTAAAACTCATGTGTCACAAAAGCAACAATCCAAAACTGCATGTATAATAACGACATTTATTTTCACGAAGATTATACCAAAAAGCAATTAATTGAAGTTCTACAAGGCTTGAACCTACAAAAGGAATACGTCTGTGATTATTATGCAAAAAATCTAGGGCATACCGTTTTAAGGCTTCCACCTTACCACTGTATGTTTAATCCCATTGAACATTAACTCCAATGTCCTCAAACTTATAGAAACCGAAATTTTTAACATCCCTCCACAAAGTTGGGCAAATTCTGTTAAACATATATAAAAATCAGAACAATCGTATATCCATGTTGCGAATAATATAGAACAAATAATAATTAGAACAGGCGATGATAGCGATAGTGATACTGATATATTATGTGAATAATTTTAAGTAATTTAAGTAGGTAATAAAAATAATTTGTAATTTTATTTTAGATTTAAACATAAATAAATAAATAAATATTGTTTAGTACATTTTCTAACAAAACCCCAAATAATTAAATTCTAAGGAAAGTACGGACCTGTTCTGTCATATTTCATTCTTACAGCTTGCCCGGGTCTTTCCCTAATTCGTATCAGTTAGTCACATTCTTATATCTATGAACAGACTTTACCTCCAACAGCACTCTATATCTTTATACTCAACAGGCTTTACACAACTCGTTTTTCATTGTTTGCGAATTGCGATATTTCATTCGACTTATAGGCGGAAGAACTATAATATGTACAATCCATCAACCATCTGCCAGACTTTTTGAAATGTTCGATCAGCTGTACACCCTTTCGGACGGCCAGTGTGTCTATCAGGGTTCGACAAAGATGCTTGTGCAATTTTTGGGCAGGTTGGGATTACAGTGTCCTTCATACCATAACCCTGCTTCTTACATTATTGAGGTAAATCTGCCATTTTGTCGTTAGTTTATGGCCAAAGAATATTTTTAATCCCGTAGGTCGCCTGTGGCGAATACGGAAACCACACCAGAAAGCTTGTTAACGCCATCGATAATGGGAAAAACGATGTTCGGGAAGGTAAACCCCTACCCGAGTTGAAAATAACTGACAACTTAAATAACGCCGAGAAATACGCCCACGATATAAAAAATACTATCGTTGCCTCTAAGTTCAACAAAGACGATAAAAACGCGAAAGTTTATAACGATACCACCATTCCCGCTTTGCCACAGAAAGTTTTGAACAACGGCGTTAAAGACGGTAAGTTTTTTTTGTCTTTTGACTTTTTATGATCTTGTATGAAACATAACTCCCTATGTGGCAGATCATTCAAAAGATGACGTAGAAAAGGCTAATGCTGAGTCTGCTTTGCTCGGCGATAACGCGATGCCTGTCAAACAACCTAGATATGGTAACACTGAACTTCAGCAGTTCTTCATAATTTTGAAAAGGACTTTACTATTTAGCAGAAGAGACTGGGTGAGTAAGGCTGTTCACTTGTGGCCCTCAAAATGGCTAGAGGTCTTGAGTCACATCTTTTGAAGCGGTCTCTAACCAAAAATAAAACAAAAAAGGTCAACCCATGACCAGTCTTTAACTTTCGACCTCTTTCTTATTTCAAGTTGTGACTTGTTTAAATTTAAATTAAATTATTGCATTTTTGACGAATGTTAATGAAATATAAAAAATCTTATTGGACTAAAACTAAAGGCATATTTAAAAATGCAACGGTTATATTATTTTTGTAAAAAAAAAGTTTGTTCAAAATATTTGAATAATTTGAAAAAATCTAAAAACTCTCAAACATGGTTCTTGTTGACTGTTGAGTAATTTCTTGGTTTGGTTATAACATATAATAACAAAATGTCTTAAAAATACATATATCCATCTTATTATTCTAAAATGTATAAACATTTTGGAAGCTATTATGTAATTTGAAGGAATTAGTAATATTTCTGAGAAATACTAAGAGATGCTCGAACTTCCGTCGTCTTTATTTTATTTTGAATTACGCAGTTTTATCGCTATCCGTGGTCAATCATCTAGCACGTCCTAGTTCAAAATAAATAAGAACTAAAAGTTCAAATTTTCACGAAAAAACGGTGTTGGCGATACAATTGTCATGTGAAAAAATATAATTTCGTGAAAATCTGAACTTTTAACTCTTATTAATTTTTTTAAATGGATTTTCATCAAGTAAAAGCCACTTAGTTCAACACAATAAAAACTATGTTGAATGGTTTAATAAACAATAAAACTATTTTGTAATAATCTGGTGTTCAATATTATGTGAATTATGTGATTTTATAGAACCCTTAATTGATTATTTTATTGATTATAGAAACCATAATAACAAAACCAAAATACAATACTATTAGAAATTTAAAAAGCATCGTATTTGTGGCATTGTTTTTGCAAATTGAATTTTGCTCTTGAAAATCTTTAAAATACTGAGACATATGTGTTCCGGCACTTAGAAGATATGTATATAAAAACGTCATTCAGTTTTGTGAAAATATGGCGAGTGTATGAAACTTGATAAAAATATGGGAAAAAAAGTCAAGACAAATATCATTTTAGGAACAACAATGTTAATATATATCTTTATTAATATACCAAATAAAACAAAATGCCTATCTATTGAACTATAAACAATTTGATCTATCATAGCTTACAGAATAATGTACATCTTTATTGACATACCAAATAAAACAAAATGCCCATATATTGAATTATAAACAATTTGATCTTTTCTAATAAGGGAGTTAGTATAGTGATTTGAAATGTTTAACATTGACTAATTGTGCAGTTTTGTGACATTATACCAATGTTGCAAATTTTTTGGCAAGTTCGCACCATTTTTAAAGAATGAAAAAAAAAATGCGAGCAGGTAAAAAACATTCTCTTCAGAAGTTTAATATATATTTTATACTGTGGAGCTTGTTATATGTTTTCTACCGAATGTTTACTGATTTTTATTTTTAGACCCTTATGTATCTGCGACTGTTTGCCCACATATTGGTCGGTTTTCTGATTGGCGCGCTGTATTTTAAAATCGGCAATGACGGCGCTAAGGTTCTCTCTAATCTTGGATTTCTGTTCTTCAATATGTTGTTCTTGATGTACACTTCGATGACCATTACCATTCTGTCTTTCCCGTTAGAAATGCCGGTCTTATTAAAGGAACATTTCAACAGATGGTATTCTCTAAGATCCTACTATTTGGCTATCACATTATCTGACATTCCGTTTCAGGTAATAGAACATTAAATTTATTTGTTCCTTTACTTATAATTTTTCATATTTTAATTCTGTTTATAGACAATTTTTTGCGTTATCTACGTGACAATAGTATATTTTATGACTGCTCAACCTTTGGAGGCATCCAGATATGGAATGTTCCTTTTGGCATGTTTGTTGGTATCCTTCGTGGCGCAAAGTATTGGACTCGTTGTGGGCGCAGCCATGAATGTTCAGGTAACTCCGATTTTTTTTTTAAACATATTAATTTTACAAAATTGAAACGTCTTATTCCGATTTAATAAATATAAAGTTCTACTGATTTGACATAACAAATTTAATGAATTTTTTTTTTAGAATGGTGTATTTTTGGCTCCAGTGATGTCGGTACCTTTTCTGCTCTTCTCTGGTTTCTTTGTATCATTCGACGCCATACCTGTGTATTTAAGATGGATCACCTATTTGTCTTACATAAGATATGGTTTCGAAGGTACGGCTTTGGCGACATACGGATTTGATAGGTCGAAACTTCAGTGTTTCATTAGTTACTGTCACTTTAAATCTCCGTCAATTACCCTGGAAGAGCTCGACATGATCGATTCGAGTTATATGGTGGATATTGTTGCGCTGGTGGTAATATTTATAGTTTTAAGAATCGCGGCGTATGTATTTTTGAAATTGAAGCTGAGAGCGAATCATTAAAACTGCAACAATTATTATCGTATATTAGAAAAGACGTCTGTATTTACAAGTATATCAAGTAGGTGGAAGTAGTGCAAAGCAATTTTATTATAAAATGTTGAAGAAAATGTTGGAGGTTAAACTTACAAAAGATTTAGATCTTTATGTTCGATAGGTGAGATAGATGAGTTTCTAATGTGCTGTAGTTTAGGGGCTGTGAGATATTAAGTTGCAAAATACACTTGCCAGTTGAAAAATTGCCGACTTCCATGACTATTCATAAACATTCTTAGATTGTAGGTTTGTAAGTTAGGACTACGTAGGTTGCTTGTTGAATTTTGTCTTACAAAGCTGCATTGAAACCTTTAATTCGTTTTTTTTTTACATCTACACAAATGAATCACATAAGGTTTACAGTTCATGTTATCGAAGATCTTTGTTATAATATGGACCATCTTAATGTTTAGAATTTTATATAACTTAGGTGTTAGGTAAATAAATATTTTATATATGATGTACAGGGTTACAAATAAATTATTTTAAAATATGCTGTCTTTTGTTCCTGCATATTATCTCGTGCAATAAAATATAAAATAAAAGAAAAAAGAAACATTTAAAGATATTAAAATATTGCTTTTCGCAAGATTTTTTTTTAATAGGGAACGGGATTAATAAATTTTTTATTTTTATTTATTAATTGTTATTTATTTTTTCTACTCCTTATTCTAACACAGTGTTCAAATATGTGTGTGGAACTAACATTCGAATAATTTAAGATGTGGATTCTACATGAAAAATATGAAATTTTGTTCATGTGAAAATGAATCCGAAAATGCACACTTTCAAGCTACAGGGTGTTAATCTTATAGAAGGGGTTTTTAATAAATATCTTAAATATCCCTTCATCGATTTTGTTGAAATTTGGTAGTGTTTGTGACAAGAGGCTTATTGAGGATTAATGAAATTAAAATTTTGAAGTGATTTCCCTATCGAATATTTTTTACAAAAAAATGTGGGTCACTGACTTTAATAACAATTAAAATTTTTTCAAATGAAGCAGCTAAAAATGCAACTTTTTTATCTCTAATTTCTTTGGGATCTTGCTTCGTTTTCAAGAAGAAAAAAACAATTTAATGCATGTCCTTAATTCCCAACAAATTCTAGTCTGTTTTTTGTCCTTAATTGCCAAATTCTAGTCTTTAAAATGTCATATTACTAACATATGATATGATATTAATGACGACAGTTTATTATTATTATGTAAAAAAAATAGGCACAAACAAGTGTCACTTCATTTACTTTACTTCACATGTCACTCATTGAGTGTATTCCTGCTATTATGCAAAAATATATTCAAAATCTAGATTAACTATAGCATCCAACACATTAATATACGACTCACTCCTTTATTTCTTATTTATTGCCTAATCAAACACGTGACTAAAGTGGTGTTGCATAATATATTTTGATTATTTTATAAGATTCTATGCTAAGAATTTTTTGGGTTTTAATATTTGCCGTTGAGGCTAACTTATACCATTATAAGTGGTGAAAATCGCTCAATTGAAATGGATAGAAAGTAGGTGTGAATGATTGATTTTGTACTGACATCCCCTTATAAGGTGCCAAACGTTTTTGTTAGGACTTTCAAGATAATAAACCATTTTCCACAATTTTAAAACTTCAAATATGAGTTACTAATCCTTGTACACACTTTCTGAAAGTGGTAATGTACAGGGCTTTAATTAAGTATGCAACTTAATTTGAATTTTGGTTGATTTTCATGTAAATATACTGCAACACTTGTTTTTGAAATATAGTTTTTAAAAATTTTATTGTTTTTTTTTGTATTTTTATATTGATATTTCATGGAATATTAGTATTTAAGGGCTTCTTCAACACGCTCGAGTTCAAAATGTTTAAATTTGTCCATTAAAAATCAAATACATAAACAATATTTTAACCAGAACCTTGGAAAATTGACAAAGTTTTATCCTATTCTCAGAAAAGGCGATCCTTCCGTAGTTGAAAACTACCGACCTATTTCGCTCTTATGCAATTTTTCGAAAATATTGGAAATTACATTAAATAAATTTATTTTTGCTCAAATTAGAAATAAACTGTCTACGCAACAACATTGTTTTTATGGGAAAAGATCATGTGTCACCAATTTATATTCCCCGCCTTCTTATGTTTGTGACTCCCTGGACAAGGAAGGTCAAGTTGACGTTATATACACTGACTTCCACAAAGCGTTTGACCAGATAGATCATCACTTACTGATTGAAAAATCATCTCAAAAATTTGGTTTCCCCGATTCGCTGATCACATAGTTAAGGTCCTAGCTGGTGAACCGTCCATAGTTAGTTGAGATTGAGGGGTTTAGATCAGTTCCTTTTTTTTCCAACTTTTGGTGTGCCTCAAGGTTCTAATCTTGGACCACTACTGTTCAATATATTTATAGACGATCTCTTATCTTTGATCATCTGCGGATGACCTAAAACTATATCAATGCATTAAAACCGGCACGGATTGCTTAATTCTCCATGATAACATCAATATTGTCAGTCAGTGGTGTACTAAAAATAAATTGCATCATCAGCAAGTGTAATGTGGTTTCTTACCAACGCACAAAAACTCCTATAGTTTTTAATCACAATATGGATGGTACTATCCTGACTAGACTTTGCACTGTAAAGGATCTGGGGATTGTATTTGACCAGACGTTCTCTTTTGTACCTCACATTATTATAATGGTTTCCAGTGCAATGCAAATTTTAGGATTCCTACTAAGAAATTGCAGGTATTTTTATAGCTCAGGTACTGGTAAATTGTCATTTAACTGTTACGTTAGGTCCAAGCTTGACTATGGCTCGCTGGTATGGTCCATTGAGAGTGTGCAGAGAAGGTTACTGTAGTATTTAATGTTCAGGGAGGACGGTTCCTATCCTGAGAGGAGAATTGATCATGATCTTCTGCCGGGAAGGTTCGCTGTACTGCCTCTAAGCTTGCGCAGACTTGCAATCTTTTTCATTTCTCTACAAGTTATTTCATTACGAAGTCGATTGTCTGTTTCTTCTGGAACAAGTACCTTTTCATGTACCGCAGTTACTCTAGTTCAATATCAATTTTCAAAACCCTATTTACAATATGTGTGTTACCTTCAACAAACTATCATCACACTGCGTCTTATCCTTTTCTTCTTTCCTTCTTTATTTTTAGTTTAGTTTAACATTAGTTTTTACCTAATTGTAATTGGGTCATGTTACCCGTTGGAAAAAATAAAGTGCTATTATATTTGAATGGCTGCTCGTAGCAACACCCACCAAGTATCCTTTTTTATCGCGAAAAATCATCTTTTCTACTCCCGTCTGTAAAATACCCAATTACGCACCGATCTAGCGCGCGGGAAGCGCCACTTTACCACGTCAGTTTCGTTTCCCACGAATCCGAGCCAATTCGGACATTTCCGGGATTTTACCGCACGGGTTTGGGAGCAATCGGATGTTTTCGGAGATATTTCCCACGCTTTACGTTTTACATTTGTCAATTCTGAGGGACATGTCAGAATGTATTCGTGTTGTTTTGCGAAAATGTATCGAAAAACTAATGGTCGTAGAAAAAATATACTATGCAACACGTTGGGTAAACTTTTTAACTCGCTTGCTCCGCTCGTGTCAAATAAACTCGTGAGTCAAATGACGTTTACCACACTTGTTGCATAATTTACTATTGTGACATAGGAAGTATTTTACTAGTTTATACAAAAAAATAAAACAAAAATGACATCTGTATGTAAAAAAAACGAACGTCTTGTGTCTTATATGAACTTTTTGCTTTTCAATTAAACAAGAATTCATTCCTAAAAATTACTTAATAATGTGATGCAGCAGTTCTTGTGGATTATAACGCTCTTTTGTCTAATTTGTCTTTAAGTAGACTGTATTATATTTCCAATTTCTTTACATTTACGTGTAGATTGTTTCAGTCCTCCCCAAATCATGATTAAAAGAAACTTAAATGCCTGGGTACTCCAGCGAAAGAAAGCAAAAAACTAAGAGTTTGATAAAAAATTGGTTCAACGCGGTGTAATTAATTAATATCTTTCTAAATTAGGTACCATAACGTCTGTCGTTTGGGGTCTATTTTGCTGGATTAATACCGAAAATGAAAGTAAAATAGTAAAGCGTTGACATAATATCTAATTTTAAATAATGTTTTTAGTGTCTTTGTAGGGAATGTGGGGAAACATTGATACTTAATCTCAAAATATTTCACAAAATAATGTTTTTAGTGTCTTTTTTACGGAATTTTGGGAAACATTGATACTTAATCTCAAAATGGTTCACAAAATAATGTTTTTAGTGTCTTTGTACGGAATGTGGAGAAATATTGATACTTAATCTGAAAATGGTTGAGATTACGAGCATCTTTTCCCTTAAAATGACATATACGTAAATGAGGTCTATGATTAGAGAAATGACCTTTAGAAAATTGTCAAACTTTTATTTTATAATAAGTGTAAATTTTATATTATATATATTAATTAATATATTATATAAATTATATATATAACGATCTAAGTTTATTTTATACAGTTTTCGTTATCATTTTCGCTCTTTTTAGAGATTTCGGAGCTTTCGCTTAATTCACTTTCCTTTTCTAAACGGGCGGTTTCACCGAGCTGACTGTTTGTTTCGAAATATGAAGACGCGTGTTCTAATTTGGAGTGGATTGAAGCAAAAGCGCTCATTTGTCTTTTCGTAAGATCTTCGTTTATATGTTTCTGTGGAACTGTAATAACCTGGTTAAAATTTACGATAACGTTTAAAGCGAAATGGATATAGAATACCGTCCGTGGGCGTGAACATTTTCTTCAAATTCAAACCCATCATTTCCACTTGGACTTCGATAATTTCTTTCGTCAGTTCGATTAGGAGCGCCGCGTAGCAATTAGGTCTCACATCTTTTAATATTGCGGTTAGGGTTTCAAGTGCGTCGTACCTCCTTTTCTGGACCATATACTGGGAATCTATGTCCGTCTCATACGCACTCCAAAACCTAAAAAGTTCAATTCACCTACCTAATGGGCTTGAATATTTGCTGGTGCTGTTCGAATTATCTACTCACCTATATAACTCACTTAAATCCAAACCCAAATTAACAAACTGAAGAGGATAATCCCTTAACGAGTAGTACAACCGGGCTCTCTTTATCCATTTGTAAGTAGCCTCAAACAGAGCTTTGGCATGGCTTAAAGTTCGAATTATAACGGTTGGAACCGATTCTTGTACTTCCACCGGAAGGTCTTTAAAAGTGTGTAGCGTTGTTTGTTTAGGAATAGCAACAGCTGCTACAAAATTCAGATTTATCAGATTCAGAGATTAGGTTTATAAAATCAGTAGTTGTATATGGGTCCGTTTTTGAACAGTTCGTTTTCGTTTTCCACCACAAATTCGCCTTGGAATTGAGCTTTTCAAGCTTTTCAAAACCAAAAATAAATTTATCCACTCACTATATATAAAATTCGGTTCGCGCTTTAATTTCGGTACATCTTCTATATACAGTCAAAATACAAGGTTACCAAAAAGTTTTATTTTTGGGTTGTGTAATGTCCCATTAAGGGAATTTCTTAAAATTGCTTTCATACCATACAGGTCGTCCCGAAATTTGAATCAAATATTTAAAATGTTTAAATTTTCCCATTAAAATCACATACATGGACAATTTCAATCCCAAATATATCTTAAGAATGGACGCTTATAGCAACACCTACCAAGTATCCTTTTTTATGTAAAAATTATGAAATGAAGATGAAATATCTTTTTTCTACTCCCGTCTGTAAAATACCTAATTACCCACCTACCTAGCGTGCGGGAAGCGTCACTTTACCACGTCAGTTTCCTTTCCCGCGAATCCGAGCCACTTCGGACATTTCCGGTATTTTACCGCACGGATTTGGGAGCAATCGGATGTTTTCGGAGATATTTCCCACGCTTTGAATTTTGACGTTTGTCAATTCTGACGGTCATGTCAGTGAATGTATTCGTGTTGTTTTACGAAAATGTACTCATAAACTAACGGCCGAAGAAAAAGTATAGTATGCAACACGTTCGGTAAGCTTTTTAACTCACTCGTTTATTAAACACTTGCTCCACTCGTGTCAAATAAACTCGTGAGTCAAATGCCGTTTACCGCACTTGTTGCATAATATACTATTTTTTACCGACATTGCACATATTATATTAGTATATAAAAAAAGGAGATTTGAAAGTGGCTGCACAAAACTAAAATTATCCAAAAAATGAAAGACTTGTGGACCCATTTTTATATGAACTTTTTATCTTTCATTTAATTTGAATTTAACTAATAAATATTTTTAAAAAAATTTTTGGGCTATATGTATTTACTATAATGCCTTGATTTTTTTTTTATCAAAATTAGGCATGTCAATTCAATATACTTTTAAAATTAGTTTCATTTTGAATTCTACTACAAAAATAAGTGTATGTTTCAAATGATACTAAAACTATAAGGTTTTTTGAATTTTGTTAAAATGTAACGTTATTTTAATTACTCAAATATATAAGAAGTTTGTAAGGTGTGTAAGTGAAATCCGCAATGAGTTGTAACCATAGACCATATTTTATATTTCCGTTATACAGGGAGGCCAATAATTGTTCTAATGTATAAGCGTCTAACACTTGATTAATTTAAATGCTACCTTTTTTATCTTAATTACCTATCGAATGGTTTCAGACCTCCTACCTGTCATTTCAAAATAGGCATATGGATTCCACAAAACGCGAAGAATTAGTTGGAGAAAGTTCAAAAATTTGCAGTTCCATTTGAATTAGTCAACTTCTAGCCGCTTCAAAAAGTTGTTATTAGATGAGGATCAATTTTTTTCCACCCTGTTTGAGATGAGAAGTTTTTTTATAATTTATATTACAAAATTACAAGTAAATTTCGCTGATGCAATTTAAACATTGTTTTTCTATTTCATTACATTAAATTACATTAAATCAGATTACAAATTATTTCAAATTAATTAAAATAACTTTAAGATTTATGTATCACACAAACACACATTTATTTTGATCGTAGGGAATACCCCTTAAAAAAGTGTAACTCTCATACCTTTAACAGTTTTGGGACAACTTGTACAGTATTAAAGTAATCTTTAAAAAAAACAAAATAGGACTTATCCCACAAGTAAAATGTTTTGAAAACTTTCGTATACCATGAATAACTTTGTATATGTATTCTGTTGCGCTTCTTTCATCCATCCCACCTTCTATCTTACTTTTTTCTCACAGCTTTCTATTACTATGGTCTGTTCATAGATATAAGAAAGTGACTAACTGAAACGAATTAAGGAAAACCCCGGACAAGCTGTAAGAATGAAATATGGCCGGACAGGTCCGTACTTTGCTTAGAATTTAATTATTTGGGGTTTTGTTAGGAAATATACTAAACAATATTTATTTATTTATGTATGTATTTATGTTTAAATCTAAAATAAAATTACAAATTATTTTTATTACCTACTTAAATTACTTAAAATTATTCACATAATATATCAGTATCACTATCGCTATCATCGTCTGTTCTAATTATTATTTGTTCTATATTATTTACAATATGGATATCCGATTGTGCTGCTTTTTCTATATGTTTAACCGAATTTGCCCAACTCTTTGGAAGGACGTTAAAAACTTCGGTTTCTATAAGTTTGAGGACATTGGAGTTAACACGGGGAAAAACATTGTTACGACGAATGGCAGATTTCAGTTGGTGCCAAACATGTTCAATGGGATTAAATATACAGTGGTAAGCCTTAAAACTGTATGCCCTAGATTTTTGGCATAATTATCACAGACGTATTCCTTTTGTAGGTTCAAGCTTTAATTATTATTATTAATTGCTCTTTGGTATAATCTTAGTGAAAATAAATGTCGTTATTATACATGTAGTTTTGGATTGTTGCTTTTGTGTCACATGGGAAAGGAGTTTTAATCAACTGTCTACTGCGATAACTTGCATTGTCCATTACAATAACGCTATTAGGAGGAATTTTTGAAACTAGTTTGTTTTTAAAGCAACTTTCAAATAAATCAGCGGTGGTGTCTTCATGGTAATCCAGAGAAGAATCTTTAATATTTTTCGCAGATAGAGAAAGTCCATTTGGAATCCAACCATCTTTAGAGCCAGCATGCAAAATAGTTATTCTTTTACCTCTTTTTGATGGCGCGTTTGTTTTACATTTATTAGTTGAGTCAACACAACCCTTTTCCGGGGTATCATAAGTGTCGAACCAGGTTTCATCCAAGTAAATAATCGATCTTTCTTGTTCTCTGTAAATCCTAATTTTTTCTAGATATTCCAGCCATTTCCGAATTCTAAAAGATTCCATTAAAATTTGCCTTTTTTCAATTTTAAAAAATCTAAAACCCATGTGTTGAATAAACTTCCACAAGGTCGTTCTGCCTCATTTAACACCGGTTTCATCTTTTTCAAGCCTCCTAATTAAGTTATTTAATATAATGTAGGCATGCTTTGTTCCTCGTATAACTGGTAAATTTTACGCCGTATTACATCTTGATCACTTTCATCTACACTCGAGAAATTGTCAGCATCGCTTCTTTTTTTCCTCGCTGAAATTGGATTATTCACAATTTTCCATACAGTTGATGTTGAAATTTTCGTCAATGCGGCCGTTTCTTGCTGCTGGCACCACGTTCAGTGAGAGTCAAATAAACATTGTTTGTAACTTCCTTAGTCTCAATAGAATAGTGTTTTCTACATTTGTGCGGGAGCACCTCCTGAGATACATTAGACTCGCACATATTTTTGCATAATTCGCACACGATTCAACACACGCTGTATTACACACGAAATAAGAGGAGGATGATTACTAATAAACTTAAACTAAGTAGTATACCAAATCAAAGAATATTAAACACAGGCAGATATAAAATTATTTTCTATTACGGACCATAATTTTACCTGAATTTAAATTCCGAAACTTTAGGTAATAATCTTGTTGCATTGTATGTTAATGACCACCCTTGCAGAAACCCATTCAACAGCAATTGGTCACTTTCTTATATCTATGAACAGACCATAGCTGGAAATTGTTGTACTAACAGTTCCAATTATTTTGACCTTCCGCTATTTCTGAGAAGTCTCTGGAAGTCTGAAGGTTTAATCTGTATCGAATAATATAGTATAATTACATGGCGAGAATATAGTTCTGAGATTATTCGATGATGGTTATTCAAAAGCGGCAATTTTTGTATTGTGATTTAAGTGCGCAAATAGTTCTGCGCAGTTCTGCAAAATTAGTTTGCAAACTGTCCGAAATTATAGACCCGAATAAAGTTGGTCTCTTACGGGCGAGTTCAATCCCTTTATCCCCATCTTGGACCACGCCGTCGGGTTCGCTATTCATATTCCAATCAATTTCGGTACTCGTCTGGAAGAGTTGTAGTCCATAATAAATCCAAGTACGCGCGATATCTGCCTGAACTGCGTGTAAGTCTTGAACGGGGACAAAGGATATTTCGAGGGGCTTCAATACAGATCCGGCCGCGCTCAAATGGTATCTGCAACAAGCGGATTTTACATTCCCTAAGCAAAATTGGAGCCAGAGTGAACCTAGCGTTTTCCCAATCTCCGTTTCCGATAAACATCCCGGAGAGTTTGTAGCAGGACTCCGCCCATTTCAAGACGTCTTCGTTAAATTCGAGTTGCCTCTGCAGAATGTCGTGTTGGGCTTTTAAGTGGGCATCCGTATCGCCCAACTTTCCGTATATCCAAGCTAGTAACTGCATATTGTTTATGGTGAGCCTGTTTAATTTCAACAGCGATGTTTGTCGGTCCTTTTTCGTATTTAAAAATAAGTCGTCGGTACTTAAAAATTTAAAAAAAGTTGTAGGTTATACATTTTTCGGCTTTTGATAAAAAAGATTAAAAAAAAAGAGAACGATAGCATGTTTCCTGTACCTAAAAACTTCAGGTTGTTTATTTTCGTCTACGATTATCTGTGTTAAAGCATCTTTCGCCTTTTCAAGGTGGCCGATTCTAGATAGGACGTAAGTCCAATGATTCATTACTCTGAGGTACAAAAAACGGACTTGCGGATGCTCAGAATAATCCGATATCACCTTCAAACTATCTTCTAGCATATCGTTACCTTCTGCAAGGAGGTTTTCGGAAAGAAGGATTTTTGCCTTCTCGTACAGGATTGACGACTTCATGCATATCTAAAATAACATGCTGTTTTTATTCATCGCATTGAAAATTTGTAAGTGGTGATCATTTGCTGTAAATATTTTTGAGACTGAGGAAGAGAGAAATTCATGGAAGAAAAAATCTATATTCCAATTACTTAATCATACATATAGCAGACAAGGTTGGTATAGTTTGTCCCAAAGTATACCATATAGTAAGTATTAAAGGAGAGAACATTAGAGATGGACTCTTATTACCTGCCAAACCTTACTTTTTACGCATGTATATGATATTATTCACTATATTATCAATATCATCTGCAATCCGCTTATAATTGATTAGAATTGTTTCTTTTAAACTGACCCGGGCATACTGCAGATAGTAGATAAAAGGCAGCATGGACATTTGCTTTTAATATTGGGGTCGATAAGGTTTTGCTTGTTGATATGGAAAACTAAAGTTTACTTTAAAAACTTACCTGTGTCGAAGTAGACTGAGACTCTTTGAAGAAACTTTAAATATTACCTGTATACTCGCTTTTGAAAAAATAAATAAAATTAAAAAAATATGTATCATATAAGTTGTTTTATAATAACAGTGTTACGTATACATAACGGGGGTGCTTTGCCCGGACATAACCTTTTAAATAATTACACCAATTTGTTATTATGTTGCTTTCACTCGCTTATAATAAAATAGAATATTTGTTAACTGCAATCTTAACTTTCGGATAGTTATTGCGAGAAGATTGTTGTCGTCACCTGTGTAATTTTGTGTCATAAAACTTCTTAGTATTTTATCAATAAACATCAAATAAGCAAACTCAGTTTTTGTATAAGCCATGTTTTTTACCGTTACGATAAATTGACTACTTACCACCTGAAAAATAATTTTCAAAATGTTTACTAGCAGTGATGGATAGGGAATTGTTTAGGGGTATTGTTACGTTTTTACAATAAAAATATTGATGTGCTATTTAAGATGAAGACACCCTTATATTTTGGCTATATAAATCAACAGAAATTTGAAGTTTTGCATAGTCACACAGGTTCATGACTAACATTTTCAAGTCAATGCTTGGTATGAGATTTTGGGAGATCAAATAATAAGTCAAATGCTGATCGTTTAGTTAACTTTTTCAATCTTCCTCTCAGGACATGTATTTCCAGCAATTCAAGGTTTGTTTCGTCAGTGGTTAAGTGATATAAAGAAACAATCCTTTTGAACCCTGGCCTCCGAGTTCACCTGATATTACACCACTCGATTTTTATTTTTAGGGAGTGCCCAAAAATAAAGACCCAGAAATGGAGTTGAACTTTGTGCTAGAATAAGGCAGACCTGTCAATAAATTAGCATCCTAGAACTTAGACAGATATGCAGTCAAAATCTGTGTATTTGAATAAATATAGCGCTATGTATTACTATTGTTTTAATTATTTTCTTAAATTTAAAGTTACCCAGAAATTATTTTCTTAAAATAAAATAATTATTGTGTTGTGTTATTGTTGTTTTACTCAAGAATTTAAATTTCATGAATTACATTATTAAGATTTTTCTTTCCATGGCACAGTAATTTATCGAATAAAAAAAAAATTGAACCCTGTTTGTGGATTTGCAACAGTCCGCGTTTATAATTTAAATTTTAGTTGAGTATCTTAAATGACTGTGCAAAACTTGAAATCTGTATTTATTTAGATCTTAGATCCACACTTGTTTACTTGGATATTGTTTCTAATAGATTAATCATGGCCTACTGATACAAATAAAGTAAAAAATGAAAAAATTCAATTTTGAGCTTAGTTTTCAAAACAACTTTATACTAATATATATTTTTGAAAACCTTAAATGATTTCCAATTAATGTAAAAAATAATATATAGGGTGTTCCATTTAAAAATATATCTTTCCTTCATTACTAAAAAATGGTTAGAGCAAGTAAAAACAAACTACGCCTCCAGATTTTACAGAAAAATCCTATCTGGACGTTAAATTTTTTAATAACTTATAACAAAACGGGAACTCCCAAAATCGATAATTTTGGATTTTAACCTGTGTTTCAAAAACCAAGAGGGCCATGACAATTTTGTTGAAGACATTTTTAATTTCACAAAAAAGTATAAATATAATATAATAATAACGTATAATATTTGCCAACAATTTGACTAAAAATAACTTAACATTTATCACACAAAAAATTTACAAAAACTGTTGAAAGGACTGCAACCGCAACAAATACTTCAGGTGTTATCCGAATATGTCAGTCATTTTGTATCTTCCTGTCTAAGATTGAAGCATACCGAGATGACCTATTCAGAGAATGAGTGAAATTTTTATGGACTTGCTGATAGCAATGCATTAGAAGCTACCGGTTGTACACTGAAAGTGGAGGAACAGGAAGGCCACGAACAGCATTAACGGTAGAGGTGGAAGAGGATGTGCAGAACATGGTTGACGAAGATCGACTGCTGACGTTTTGAATGCACGCAATGGAACTGTTCGCTAAATTCTCAAGGATATTTTTTGTATCCATACCATATCCAACGCGTTGATCAATCCTTTTCGCGGATTTCCCTCCATGCATTGCGTTCTGTCAATGGATTTTGCGCAAAAAACAATAACAATAATAATAAACTGTCCATATTGATAATCAAAATATTACAATATAAGTAACAATACAATAGTGGCGACTTCGCAATTTGCGCTCTTCCATGTAACCACAAGAACAACAGCACCAACACCATAATTGTCAACAAAATACACACTCGTATATACGAGGGCAGCGCCAAAATTTCCCGGTCTGAACATGAAAGAAACAAAGTAGAGTAACAATTTTTTTTTTTCAATATAATCCCCCTTAACTTCCATACATTTATTACATCTCTTTATTAACAACTCAATCCCTTTAAAAAAATGTTCTTTTGGTTTGTTTGCAAAATGAGCTAAAACAGCCTCTTTTAACTCAACTTCGTCGTTAAACTTCCGTCCACGTAAGTCCTTTTTCAAATATCCAAAGAAATAATAGTCGCTGGGGGCCATATCTGGACTATAGGAAGGATGGTCTTTCTGTTGGAACCCACACTTTAAAATGGCAGCTTGTGCAACACCCGCAGTATGGACAGGTGCATACGCCTCTGGTCAGTTTTTCTCTACGTTTTAGACGTATAGAGTCTCGCAATTATGTAATAATGTTGTGTAATATTTACCATTGACAGCGGTATTAGTTTCTTTAAAATCTATCAAAAGAATTCCTTCACAATCCCAAAAGATCGTGGCCATCACCTTTTTTGTTGACTGGCAGACTCTGAATTTTCTTGGAGGTGCTTCACCCTTACGACGTCACTCCATTGATTCTTTTTTCGATAGAGGGTCATAATAGAGAACTATAGTTTCATCTCCCGTCCCAATAGGCTTCGGTTCCGACCTACAGAGTTCCAACAAAGACCGCGCATACTTGACACGGCGTTGTTTTTGAATAGCCGAAAGGTTTTTAGGAACGCATCTTGCACTACCCTTATGCATACCTAAATGATCATGCAGGATTCGACCAACACTTACATCAGAAAGCTCAGTAATTTCTGAGATTTTCTTGACCTATAAATGTCGATCACTCAATACCACCTCTTCCACAATCGCAACAATATCTCCCATTATTACCTCCACTGGTCGACCAGTTCTTGAATCATCTTCAAGGGACTCCTGCCCCATTCGAAAACGTTTTGCCCATTCTTTCACTACAGAATACGAAGGAGAATTTTGGCCGTACACACCATCCAGCCTTTCTTTAATAATTTTAGATGCTAACCCTTCTTTTGTCAAAAACTTTATGACTGCTCTATACTAAATTTGCGTTATTTGCGACATTTTTTCAGACACGTCTTGTTTAAAATGCTGTCAATAAAAAACTATTTGACGCAAGACTTCAATTTTTTTTTTGCAGCCTACTAAGATACATATTTAAAAGAAGACAAAGTTTTATCGTGATAGTGGAGCTTCATCTATGTCAGGCCGGGAAATTTTGGCGCTAACCTCGTACATCGTAAACAGAAGAAATAGGCGCACATCATAAACTCATACGCTTTTGCTAGTTACGGGCGGGTCTAATAGACAATATTAATGCTTTTTTGAAGGACTTTATTGTGGGGAGGGACGTTATAGCGTAAGGAATTTCATTAAATAATTTAACTGCGTTATAGCTAAAAGATCTCTGGAAAGTTACCGAAGTGTGTCTAGGAACACAATATCTTAAACAATGACGGGTGTCTCGATTATGAATATCATTTCCTCTGCAAAGTTTATCAAACAAGTACGATGGAGTCTTGTTGGACTTCAGTAAAAAAACAAAAGTGGCTAACTAAACTTTATATCGGTCCTCCAGCTTGAGCCAACCCGAATCAGTTAGACATAAGACGTTTTCATAACCACCATTTATGGTGTGATAAAAAATCACACGCAATATTTGAAGAGCATTTTCCACATCAGTTCTCCTTGAAGGTTTGGATTAGAATTGTGGGAGGGTGCCTAATCGAACAAGTGTTTCTACCAGGAGGAGTTACCAGGAGGTGTATCGCAACTTTTTGGAGCACACGCTTTCTGGATTTCTGGAGAACGTACCATTGACTATAAGAAATGCAATGCGGTAGCCCACCAGCGCATTTTAGTCAGATTGCTAGTAAGTTTTTGACACTTAAGACGTAGAAATCGCTAGACCAAATGAGGTTCACCCCACTTACTTTCTGCGCCGGATTTAAACCCTCCGGATTTTTTCCTGCGGGCCCGTTACTTACGTTACTCTTGTCGAAAATGTTGAGGACCTAAGAAATCGAATTATTGCTGGGTGTATGAGGAGAGGATTGAAGAAGAAGAAGAATTTTATTAACCGCATATTGTACAATAATAATACAATTGCAGCTTGTCAATATAAGGTAAAATACAAAAACAAAATGTAAAAAGTATAAAGGTGTAAAAAAAAACGTATTTTATAAATAACACAATAGTGAACAATAAAAAATGTAAAGGTCAACAACACTAACATGAAGTAGATATAAAAATCGTACAGTGTAAGTGCAAGATAGTGTGCTAAGATCTTCACACATTTTAGTAAGCCAATGATTTTAATTTAGTTTTTGTTTTGTTGGAGTACTCGTCCACACTATAGAAACAATTTTCAATAAGCAACAGTTTTGAACACATTACAAGCCATATGTCTGTACCTATCTGGCAGCATATTGTACAAGTTAATGTTTAAAGAATTTTTGTCTGATGTAACAAATCTGTGTTTTGGAACTTGTATAAGATTTTTTGCACGTGTTTGATAACTATGAGACGCACCTTCAAATATGTTAGTATGTTTGTTAATTTCTAAAAGATTGTGGAGAATATAGATACAGGGCAGTGTGACTATCTTATATTTTTTAAAATATGGAGTACAGTGTTCATTGTGCTTAGCCCCAACAACAATTCTTATAGCCCTTTTCTGCATCCTGAATATTTTAACAGCATTGACAGAGTTTCCCCATATGATATGTGGGCATGAAATAAAGCATAATACACTGTCATTAGGGCATTTTGGTCTAGGGACTCCTTAATTTTTCTAAGGACGAATAAGCTGGAAGATAGTTTTCGCTTAAGAGATAAAATATGATCTTTCCAGTCAAGTCTACTGTCAAGTGTAATGCCAAGTAATTTAGCCGACTGCCGTTCGCCGTTGTTGTATTTATCTAGCGAAAAGGATATTTTGGAGTTTTGTCCGTATTCAATTTCAAATAATTGTTTTTAAACCAATTGTTCGCATTGCTCTCCAGTTCCCGAATAATGTTGTGCAGGTCATTCCAATTCGCACCATATAAGGTAAAACTGGCATCGGATTACTGCATCCCAGCTGGACGTGATCATTTTAAACAACTTTTGGAAAATCTTTGTATGATAAATATAAACAATGGCATACATTCCTATCAAAAAATATTATAAAGTAGCTCCCTCCCTAACGTCACTGTTTAATTTTTATTTAAAAAAAAAATTTAAAAAACATTATTTATATTTAAAAAACATTATTAATATAGAGGGGGGTGGAGGGGAGAATTTGACGGAGCCTAAACTTTACCGCATCGCACTTACCGTCCGCAAATATTCTTCAGAGTTTTTAACTACGTTATTCAGCACAACTTCAATTTTCGACAATATTAGCTCGAATTGTTTATGGAGAGGATTACGAATTTCATCTCCCGAAGTACTCGGTGCCGGACCCAACTTGTAAGTTAACGACAGGTTCTTTAACTCATTGAAACATTGCTCGAGATCGTTTGTACGGCTAATGTTTTCTTCCATGTTTTATGCTCCCTTTGGAATATTAGTTTGAAAACGTCACTGTAATTTTTGACAATTTAACAACTGTCGTGCATACTTGGTATCGATTTTTAAAACGTTGTTCTTTGGTAGTTATTTATATTATAGTTGACTTGTTTTTTACATAACGAGGTATAGTTTGCTATCATACCTCAATTTAATTTATGACGCTTCACAATATGAACTAAAAACGAACTTGAAATGCGTTTATTTTTCAGTTTTATTATAACAAGTAAATTTATAAATGTACACAATTAACGATATTGTTATAACATTCCAGCCTAATGCTACAACAACATCTTGGAAGTTAAACATTTATTAGCGACATTATTCGATACAATTCTCGGTTTTTTGTTTACACCAATTAGCAGAAGTTTTGAACGGATTTGAACATACGATTTTTCTAGGATTTATTTTTACTCTTCTTCATTTTCCCCTTCGTTTTTATCTTGATCGTCACTTGCGGATGGCTCCAATTTTGAACCTATAACAAATAAATTATTATAAGTCTGATGCTTCGCAGACAAAACTATTTTTATTGTACTGTGCGTTTAATTTGTCCTGATAACATTTTAGAGATATCTAGGTAAACAAAAAACCAAAAGTAGGATTAGTAGCCAAGTTTTTTTCCCAAAACACACAAATTTTCTGACATATAAGCCTACATCATATTTTTTTAAATGGAACACTGTGTATATTATATATGTGTTTAATAGAATATCTTATTCCGATTACAATGATGTAATACACTTTTTAGTCCGCTCGTAACAATAGGATATTTTATTATAATTTCAAAGAGTGCCGTGACAAACTAAAATAGAACAAAAACACGACACACTAAAGTAAAAAAGTCTTTAACTATTCTAAATACCGCTGTATGTGGCCACCATTTTCCTGAACACATTCCCTATACACTCTAATTGTATGATGTCTTGCATTTAGTAACTTTTCCGGATTGCCTCTTCACTGATTGATTGCATCTGAAATTCTTTGCCGAAGTTCCACGGCATTATGACAAGGAGTTCTTTGCACATGATTTTTTATGTGCCCCAGAAGAAAAAATCTATTAAAGTTAAGCGGGAGCTGATGGCTGGCCAATCCATAGTTCCGTCGTTCCCTGTCCAACCTTTGGTATATTCCAAGACAAATTTTAAATTGCACAACATTGTGAGGAGTGGCACCACCTTGATGCTAAGAGTTGCAAATAATGATCTCCAGTTAACTTTTGATCAATAAATATCGAACACAAAAGATTATTTAAGGACCAATATCGCGTATTTTGTCTATTACAACCCTTTCTTGTAGTGAACGAACTTTCATCAGCCCATAAACTGTTTTTCAAAAAAATTGTTATTCTCATTAGGTTTGTTTAAAAAATGCAAACAAAACAAAAATTTAAATGTCTTATATTTATATTATTTCAAAACTGTCAAAAATACCTGGCTCTTTTTAGCCTACTTCGCCTAGTTTGAAAAAGAGTAAATTATGAATTTGTCCGTTCTAAAAAGAGAACAAATTATAAATACCAATCTCCTTATCGGCCATATTGTTTAGAGGGCTATTCAAATGCTGACAGATAATATATTATGCCTTGGTGTCAGTCTTCACGCCTGCAAGCTTATAGAAAACTACCTTAAAGACAGAACGCAACCTGCGAAACTTCAAAATAAACAGTCCAATCCTAAAAGTATTGCATTTGGTGTCCTCAGGGCTCCATCTTTGGGCCATTGCTGTTCACACTATACACATCAATTATATTTTTCCGCTTCCACTGATGGCAATTAATCCAAAAAAGAGCCAAGTACTATTGTTTGGATGTTCCCAAAGGTCTTGAGTGTTCAACTGTTTCTACCAATCTGGGACTCTTGCTTGATGTCAATTTATGGTGTTCGGAACATGAAAAACGTATATGCGAATCTATGATATTTTTCAAATTTTCAACTTTTGATCTAGAAATATCGGACCCAAAATATGCCCATCTATGACACCACACCATACATTAATTGATTAGTGCCCCTGGGTTTTTAGTTCGTGTATTTGTCTAAGAATATTTAAAGACTAATATCGCGTATTTTGTCTATTACAACCCGAATTTCCATCAGTCCATAAAATGTCCAAATCCAAACAAAACTGCATCCTCCTTTGACATTGTTCTGCACTTGGTTTATATTCTTTCAAAACTCTTCATATACTCTAGTAATAGAGGAAACTGAATGTGCTTCATAGAATCCTCATATGTTTGCCTTATTTTGTTCATTTAAAACATTATGATTTCAGCATACCTTTTCAGCATGTTACTGTTTTCTGCAAATTTCTTTACCAGCTTTGGAAATATCTGTTGTGCGCTCTGAATAAAGTCTAATATACTGAGGACGAGCTGCGGTTGCACTTTTGTTATTCAGAAAGTATATTTGTATAATGTCATTCCTTTCACGGATGCTAAATTCGCGAAAAACTATTTTAACAATAATGACTTGGACAATAATTCAACCATCAACGTTGTTTAATAATAGGTCAAACATAAACATATTTTTATTTGTCACGGGCACTCTTCGAAATTATATAAAAATTTCTTATTTTTGCCGAAAAACGAGTTGACTAAAATATGAAGGGTGTTTGTTAAAGCCCGATAAATGAACGAAAAATTACTTTAGGCACATGGATCCACACATGATGCCTATAATAAAAAGTGAGAACAGCATTTCATTTTGTTTGAATAAGGATCTCCTCTTTAATTAGATACCCACTTCGATAACAAAAGCGAACAGAATAAGTTCACTTGGGACGCAAGATAAACATTGGGCTCGCGAATTTTATTACGGCGAGAAAATAATCCATTCATTATCTTGGTTTTATATACCTGGAGCAACATTCTGTGTTTGGATTGTATCCGAAGGAATGACTTAAAATATGACCGCTTCATATATTACGGGCTAACTACATAAAATAATATCAACTTGACGCCATGGACGTCTTAGTAGTAATTAAGGTAATTTTGTAGTTTTACTTGAAGAAATATTTATTGATTATATTTCCTGCTAATTTTGTAACGTAGAAATGGTTGACACCGCAATTATTTTATATTTTCGACTCTTGGGGAACGGACAATATCCGATCAGTCTTAATAAATATGTACACGAACATTTTTCTTTTTTCTTTAATTAATGCAAATATTTTAACGTCAGTCCAAAATTTTAAGCTTTAAGTCCATATGTGACTCATTGTTGATTTACAGGACGTTTTAGTCAAAAATAAAGAAATATTTTTGCCAAATACTTCAAAACTCTAGTTGATTTTGCTTTTAAACGCCAGTACTAGAGGAGTATGGTAAAGGCCAGTACTCTATTGATTAATGCGTTTAACATTTGAAAATCTTTGACAATGAATAGAAAAACAATTTTACTAATACGAAAATATCAAAAATACATTAATAATTTACCTTAATATTTTGATTCTAGTTAAAATATTTTCAATCATTTTTTTATCTAATATATAAGTCGTCCAAAAAGTCATGGAAGTGAGGAAATGCATGTAGGTAGCGCCCCCTACAAGCAATAGCTAAAGTAAGAACAAATTCAAATTTCTCATATTAAAAAACTTCCAGGTAGCAATTTTCGTAGAGAAATAGCCTTTATTTAGGAAAGTGTACGGAAAAAACAAAAATTAAAATAAAGCTTAGACACCATGTACCTCAAAAAGGAAGTATTTTATGGGCGATGGGCGTGGTATTGTACCTATGATTATTGTCAATGGTCCCGAGAGTGGTTAGCAGACTGACAGCCCTTAGTGTTTACCATTACAATTATAGTTATTTTCCCGTAGTTCGTTCTTGATAATAGCTTTGTATGTTCCAAGTTTAATGACCCCCATCATTGCATCTTTTTACTCTCTCGCAGTAAGAAACTAGGTATAGTAACATTTTTCCTTAAAAATACTCTAGAAATAACTTATTAGAAACTTCACCTGCAGCAGAATTAATTTTCCCCATTGCCAAGAACCTGTCAAATGGGAACAATGTCTTATTTTAGTGTTTGGACAAAGCAAAGAGAGTTTGAAAAATTGGTGTACCGTTCAAAAGCACGTACGTCCAAGGATAGTTCCCCTCGTCAACGTCGGATGATCTGCCGATGCGAGGTCCGAACCATATACCGTTATTCGATTTTGATTCATCCCCTCTTTTTTGCAAACTGTTCCCGAATTCGGACAAATCCCACATGTTGGTTCCTATTCGACCTACTCTCGGAAATACCACAAATTTGGCAGCTCGTTTCATTTCTGAAAAATGTACAAGTACCAATATATATGTACCATATGATACCAGTGAATGGCTAAAATATGGAACAAATTCATTGTCAGGTACGCAGTAAATAGTTCAGGGTGGATCAAAATGTTGATGTCGATACAAGTTTCTTTTTTTAAGTGGAACACCATTTTTTAAATAATAATTCATGTGGCCTCCCCTTCTTAATTTTTATGAGAAAAACGAAAAAATATAAAGAAAGTAAATATGGCGCGTCTAAATGAAACTCAGAAAATTAATATGGAGATAAAACGAGAACTCAAAACGAAGTTTGCAATTCGTTTAACACAAAATATCCCGGACATTCCAAAGAAATTATTTTATAAAAAAAAAGTGTTGAAAATGCCCAACATCTACAGCACCTCTGTATATAGGAAACCTAAACATACAGAACAGTACTTAAATTTCGAATCTAATCGTTCTGAAGAATCAAACTAGCAATCATCCAAACACCGTGTGAGGTAGATCTCTTTCTTTCTCTCTCTTGAAGAGCCCATACGTGAAGGCAGAAAAGATCAGTCGAATAGCCAAATAATACAAAGTTAAGACTGCATTGGACTGAGTAAGGAGCTGCAGTAAATAGTGAATAAGAAGGAAACAAGAAGACAATTGTTTTTATTTATCTCAAGAAAGGTACTCTAAAATCGTTTCTGAAGTAATTTCTGCTAAAGTGCAGTACTCCCTTGAAATACAGACGTTTCAAACGGTTTGACATTTTAAAAGTTTGTGACGAACAAAAGTTAGTTGTGCCATTTTTTTAATACACATTCCGAAAGTCACATACGCCATGGAGAAAGAACACGAATGCTTAAAGAATTGCAAGATATATACAAAAATATGAAGTCGTATTGCTCTATTTAAATTTGTGTAAAGAATTTCGAAAAGTATTGTTCCACGTCTAAATATAGCTGTAAAAACAAGATGCTTTTGTGTAATTCAATGTGTTGCAATAAATTTGAAATTTGAAATTTTTATTTTATTTTTATATTAACATTCGATATGTTTGTTGTGTTTATTTTATGTTCATTTGAGAACTTTTTCCATATTTTAATCAAAATAAATAATACCCTATAGAGCTTTATTTTGGTTTCTCTATATAAAAAAGTCTTTTGAACGTACACCATTAATGTAAAATGAATGTCGAAATTCGTCGGGGATAGTTAGTAGATAGTATTTGATGAATATATGGAACATACTCCAAGTAACTTGGTCGATGTTGACATAGTTGACTACAATTTTTCTTTAGTTGCCGTACCAATAGTTTTAATAGTTTATCTTGTAATTGGCATCTCTGTATGTTTTGCATTAAAAAATTACAAAACTTTTCTTGAGTTACAATACAATACAGTACACCTGATTTTTAAATGAATATATTCCATATTTTAGCCGTTCACTGTATAGATATGCATGTAAACAGATAATTTCTACACATGTTCGGATCATTTATTAAAATTCCTTCCTAAACAGAAAATGGCCAATGGAAGCGTAATAACACAAAATTAGATATCGGGATCTGAGTTTAGTTTTAATTGTTTTAATGTGCTATATGATATGGCTAAATGCCTTTTTTGTGCGTTGTTACACAAGAGCGAAAATCTAGAATACACTTATTAAGTTTTTCTTATCTTTAAACTTCTGTGCCCGCCTATATCCACCGAAATTTAGGTGATCAGTATCAATTATATTCTCACCTATTTCTTCGTCCGAATCAATCGATCTTTTGCCGGTTCTAACTGGCGACAGGAATCTTCTTCTAGGTGCTATAAAAAACATCGTATTTACGCTAAAAGACGGAAAAAAAATCTAGCCAAAGCATTTCAAAAAGTTTTATTTTCAGGATATTAAGAGGGTTAGATATGTGGTTTATTGTTACATGTTACAATTTTTTTAGTATCATAAAACCCGTACTTTATACTATATATGTATTAAGAAGTGTTTCAATGTGTACCTTTCAATTTTTGATGAATAAATATGATAAAATGGTAAATAAGATTTTCGTCCAAAATTTTCGTCATCCTCATAACAGAATACAACTTTTCCGATTTTATAAGAAAAATGTCAACCTATAAAAAAGTGATTGCTTTGTTACCTGTTCCGCTTAAACCTTACATCCTTGACCAACATTTGATATTTATAATTTTGGATTCCTATGACATACTATACACCTATATCAATAATTTATCCGAAAATTAAAAGTTTTTGAAAGCCAAGTATGAGTTTTGCTGAATTTCGCTCATGGGAAAATATTATAATAATAATAATAATAATTATATATATATATATATATATATATATATATATATATATATATATATATATATATATATATATATATATATATATATATATATATATATATATATATATATATATATATATATATATATATATATATTGTTTGTTTGCATCGATACCTGTTCTATCCGATGTATCCAATTGTAATCGTTTTGAATTTCTCAATCCTAGGTAGAACCGAGCTGGCAGAGAAGCTAAAAACAAAAAATTCCCAAATTAGGGGTTTTTTATTCATGGTGTTGCTTAAGAAACAAGATATTCAGCGATTAATTACAAAATAAAAATACATGTTTGTAATTTTTACACAATTTGACATTTTCATTGTAGTTATTTATTGTTTTGAAACTGCTGCTTATCTGCATCAAGTTTGTTGTTGCAAAATATATTCTTCGAATTAACAAGTACCCCCAAAAATAATCACAGGCTCAGCATTTTTTCCCACCAAATAAATTAAACAATATTAACTTATATTAACTGTATTAACTCTAGAAGTCGGTTGAATTATTTTGGACGCCATTTGAAGATTTTCATTAAAGTCACAAAAGCAGAATTTTCTTTTTTAAAGTAGGCCATGGTCGCTCTCAACAAACATTTGGCGAAACAAAAGTTTTGACAGTGCAATTAAGTTAAAAGTTTTGACAGGCTAATTATTTTTTTCAGTATAGTGGGCTTTGAAAAAAGAAACCTTTTTTTGACAGATGTCCTTATTGACAGTTTAAATTCAGATACAATGCAATTAATTAATTGGATACGGAGCCTTTTGGTTAATGCTAAAATGGAAAGACATTTTTCTCTTAACAATAAGTTTGACGTGTTAAAGCTTTAGATAAAGCATTTCAAACCATCACACTAGATGTACTTGACAATGTGTTAAGTTCCACAGTTAAACGATGTTACGTATGATTAGAAAATACTGGGCATTTTTGTGAAAATATTTTATTAATTAAGACTGTAAATATTACTAGCAACGATAATAATTAATCAACGATATGTATTAATTGTAGAATTACAATTAATAAATTTGAATTATTATTTGTTGATTTATTCCAATGTAATTAATAAGTAATTCCAGGTAATTAGTAATTAGTAAGTAAAGAAACTGTTCGAATTTTTTTTTGATTATTAACTTTCCACTTTTGAATAAAAAATAAATTTAATACTAGTTCAGTGTATGCCATGATGAGTGGACGGTCAAAACTCTTGTTTTTCCAAATGTCTGTTGAGAGCGATTCTGACCTACTATAAGCAAAATCAAATTTTTATTTTGTGACACTAAGAATGCATTTCTTATGCTCTATGTAATGATGAAAATATTTAATATGGCGCCCATAAGAAAATTTAATAATCTATGGCGCATCTCGAAAACAAATGAAAAAATTCTGTTTCCTTTTACGTCATCGTCATCATATATTGGACACACTGTATAACAGCGATTTGCCAACTTAACGGTTTATAGAAAAACGAAGCTCTGTTTTATTATTTCGGCGACAATTAATTTAATTAGCTGATGGACTTTGCAAGCTCCCTTTACTGGAAATTAAAAATAACCGTAAACATAAGAAAGATTTATTAAAAATAAATCCGAACGGGGGATTAATGTCTGACGTTTCTTTCAAACCTCATCCTTTATTTCGGAATTACATGCATACCTGTTGAACACTTTAAAAATAACTCCGAGATTAAAAACTCAAGTTAATCGTGCCGATTTTTTTATTTTTACCACGGAAATAGGCAAAATTAAAATAAAATCGGTTGAAAAGTGCACGGAAATATTTGTCGGCATCAAAAGAAAACTTCCAATTTGTATGAAAACGATAAAATTTACCGTCATCTCCGCTGGGCAAATCGTCGAATTTTTTTCCCACCCTTATGACGGACATGCGATGTCCTACGCTTCTTTGTTCTCTCGAAGGTTCTAGAACAGAAATATTTAAAAAAATATTGATTCGCGCATATCTTTCCTAAGCAAAACAAACCGGAATCATCGAATACGTCAAGTTATTCGTTCCAAAAGTTCAGCAGCAAATACTAAAATGTAAAAAACATTGTCTTTTTGAATTTTTTTGCATTTGCAAACTCACTTTGCAGATTATTATTCTCTTTATTGCAATATAATTAATTTTGATTCCTACTGTACTACTTTAGTGAAATAATAAAATGTCTTTCGGTTTTTTTAACGATGCATAGAGAAAACTCCAACTTCATTTTGGAGAATCTGCTGTTTAACCAACAAAAATGTTGAATTTGAAGACAATTTGATAATGAAAGAACATTTTTACGCAAATATCGTCTTATGTAATACGCACAAGATTTAGCAGAAAAACTTAGTGTGACGTTAGCGTATTCTTATGACATTCGCTGGGGTCATCTTTCCTGATTTTGAGTATAGTTAAGTTCGTTCATAATTTTAGTAGCGCACGTGTGTGACTCTTTGTAATAATTTTGTTCTCTCCATCAATAATTTTCGGTCAATTTTGTGAAAGTAAATAAAATGTATAATATATATATAACGTATATATAAACATAAAAAGTGCCAACAGAAAAGTCTGCATTATATGGGAATAGTATATTATGCAACAAGTGCGGTAAACGGCATTTGACTCACAAATTTATTTGACACGAGCGGAGCGAGTGTTTAATAAAAGAGTCAATTTTTTGAAAGTAAATGAGAGGTGTTTTTTAAAAAAATGTTTGAGTTAAAAAGCGTATAACCTATATATAAACATAACAGGTGCCCGCGAAAAAGTCTGCATTATATGGGAATAGTATATTATGCAACAAGTGTGGCAAACGGCATTTGACTCACGAGTTTATTTGACACGAGCAGAGCGAGTGTTTAATAAACTAGTGATTTAAAAAGTTTACCGAATGTGTTGCATACTATACTTTTTCTACGACCGTTAGTCAGAATTGGCAAACGTCAAAATTCAAGGTGTGGGAAATATCTCCCAAAACATCCGATTGCTCCCTAACCCGATGCTGACATGTTCTCGAGTGTAGATGAAAGTGATTAAGATATAATACGGCGTAAAATTTACCAGGAATTTACGAGGAACAAAAAAATAATAATTAGAACAGGCGATGATAGCGATAGTGATACTGATATATTATATGAATAATTTTAACTAATTTAAGTAGGTAATAAAAATAATTTGTAATTTTATTTTAGATTTAAACATAAATACACACATAAATAAATAAATATTGTTTAGTATCTTTCCTAACACAACCCCAAATAATTAAATTCTAAGCAAAGTACGGACCTGTTCGGCCATATTTGATTCTTACAGGTTGCCCGGGTCTTTCCTTAATTGGTATCAGTTAATCACTTTCTTATATCTATGAACACACTTTACTGTCAAACAGTTTCTCAAACATCAATTATATTGTAAACAATTACTTAAAAAAAATACTTAATAAACATTTCTGAAACTAACTGATCTATTCATGGGTAAACTATGAATAAATACATTCCATTTAAACAATTTAGCAAGACAGCTAAACTAAAACAAAAACACAATTTTAATAGTAAGTGTTGAAAATGCCTGCTTTGTTATTTATGCTTTCACGAAATTTCTGAGTAATCTCGAATAAGGCAATAATAAGCCTTACGAAGTAACAGTAGCCAGTCCAGTAGCTAATACATTTTTTATATTGTTTTATTTGGAATCCATTAAATTGACTCCAACCCGGGTGGTACTAGCTGCACTTGGTAAAAGGAAGACTTTTGCAATAGAACCAATGCCACAGTGGTTTGAGTATTCGTTGGGTGCCTTCGCAGTCCCTTTGCATGAGATTTTATTACTTTACAGCTTTCTGAAATAGACAGTAGCTAAATATGCTTTAAGCTTTTAAAAGGTATATCGGTACTTACATTAATAGTGGACAACGTAGCACACTATGACTGCAACACCTTTGCTCCATAAGACTGTTTCGTTTTAGTAGAGAAAGTAACAACATTAAATATTTTCAAATCATAAGGAAGGTTGTTTACGAGCCTACGGATACAATAAAATATTTACGGTAGTGTTTTACAAGGATCCCACGCTTCCTTTCCGCGTTTTGACAAATACGAGAAACGGAAAAAGGAGTTGATACTCAATTAGCCTACAAGAGCACCCTATATATAGGCTTCGTACTGAAAAAATAAGTATTCTTAACTCTAGAGGTTTTTTGATAAATAAAATATCGATTTCCCAGAAAAGCTGCATAACAGGGTTTGCCACAGGCGAAAAGGCATAGAGTGACGTTTTACTGTTGACGTAATACTAAAAGCTTCAAAGAGCTATTACAGTGAGTTTTGTATAAACCATGTTATTTTGCCCTAATACACTTCGGAACAAAATAACCTTTGGTGCCCCGAGCTTTTAAAACTAATTATCTTTTTAACTCTCTTTGGTAGGAGGTATTGACCTACTTATTATTAACTTATGTGCCATTAAAAGGCTTCTTAGGGAAAAGAAATGTAGTGATTTTCGTGTACTTCTACCGAACTACTCCAAAATTAGTCCAAGCAGTCTGTTGAGTGACTTTGTTTAAATGAGTAAAAATTCATAAAGGTAGGATTCAAATCGCAGCTTAGGAAGTAAAGTTTTTCTTTGACGAGCTTAATATCTGGATCTTGTTTCTTTAACGAGCTTGTTAACACGCAGTTTTTGTAATACAGGAATAAAGCAAAGTTTGAAAAAATGCTGAAGTGGCACATCCTCGATGTTGATGATTTTCGATAAACCAAAGCTAAGTATCACACTTGACTTGCAGATAGATGCAGATGAACGTTGTTAGTATTCAATTCTTGTGTGTATTTGTATTTTACACGTAAGTTTTGAAAAGAAATTATCTTTCCTTTAACTGCCTGACGAGACGTAATAGTAAATTATACAGGATGATTCATCAAAACTGGACAATCTCCAAACTGGAGACAGTAGCCAACATACTATTATGATTGAAAATGTCGCTGGTTTCGCTGGAGGTACGGGGCATTCAAATTGAAATTTTATTTTCAATTTTTTCATAAATGGAAAAAGTTTTTATAGTGCCATAATAAAAATTGCCAGTTTAACGTTTTTTGGCATAACAATTACGAATTCAAAATTTACTTTTTTCTTTTCTATTTTTTGTTTTTTCCCGATTTTTTTTTTGATAAATAGGTACTTAATTCTAATTTTTCAAACAAACTTTCACAGGTTACGGTAATACTATTTTCTGTGTCGGTTGTTTATAAATCAAGCTTGCCTGACGTTTCAGTTAAGCTCTGAAGAAGCCAACAGGATGATTGGCGAAACGCCAGCAAGTTTGATTTATAAACGAAAAAAATCCAGAGGTTTTAATTCGGGTTGCCAAACAAATTAGTCAAATAATTTCTGTGACCAAATATTATTTTGTAGCACTCTTGAGTCTCGCTAGTAAAAGGTTTTCGGTTTGTACTGAGACTTCAAAATATTGTACTAAACAAATTAAAAGTGTCCAATTTATACTATGTGAATCCTACCTTGCTACTCTACCATTATCTAGTAGGAGCCGACAATGTTAATTTTAAGAAAAAAAATATTAAAAACAATTATTAACCTTTCAAAGACTCTTTTTACTTATGCGTAGCAAGGGGGTTATGGATAAATTTCTTGCTGCCAATATTCTAGACCGCTGCTTGGAAGCATTGGGCATTTTTGGGCATTGATAATAGAATAGTGATTTTGATTAGGTTGGGTTGAATCTGAAGTGTTAATTTTTTAAAAGTTAAAAAACGAAAATCTGACAGCTCTTTATTTAATCAAAACTGGAATTAAACACAGGCTTATTTATTAATAAAATAAAATCTCCTAAAATGTGGGCAAAATTTTTAACCTTTTTGAGTTTTTTATTTAGGCATCTAATAATTGTCTATTTTCGCATTCTTTACGCTTAACGTAATATTTAAATATTATGGTTTTTTATAAGTGAGAGCTTCATAAGTTACTTTTTCTTCTAAATTTAAAATTAGTTCAAGTAGTATTAACTCAAAAGTCGTAACATAACTTTATAATACAGTATATTTTATGCGTACACTAGTACGCTAAAAACTGTTTATATTCGTATATTTACAGATTTAATGCACATTGCAATGAATAAAATACTTTACAACACACGGTTATGTAAACCTAGATAGGTAATTATTACCACTGTGCACCGCAAGTCCGCTGAAATTTGCTGGAGCAAAGACACAAATCATATTACGCATATCATTATGACAAAAACGATTATGTCGCGAGATTTTGTGATTGCCAGTTAATATGTTTGCCCAAGTAACCAAAAAATCAGTGTCATCTAAATTGGACAAATGGTTACACAAGCCTGCTTAGAATAAAATAACAACATCATAAATGTGAACTTTTTAAATGCAAATAAATCAAAAACCGGCAGTTAGACGTTAGATGCCCCAAACAACGGTATCTTTGAAAAATTGAACACGTTAACACATTGACAGATAAAAAAAATTGTTCGATTTATCTAAATAATACGGTGAAACTATAATATGGTTGAACTATAAGTTTGAAATTCTTAATTGTATTATAAAAACTTTCTCAATTCATGAAAAAATTATAAAATTTCAGTGTCTGGTATGTCTAGTTTAGAGATTTTTTTAAATCACCCTGTACGGTCTGGCCAATGTCAACGTTTACCGAGTTTTGCTTGAAGTTTTATGATTTTCAAATTATTCGTCTAGAATAAAATGGCAGTTATTTAAAAAAATTAAAGAGTCAAAGCTCTAATATGTTGTTCATTCCATTCGAAATAGATCATTCATATTCTAAGTATAACAATTAGAAACCCAAAAACAATCAAAAACAAAATAGAGTGGGAAAAAATGAAATTCAATTTTTGTTGTTTTGTTATTTTGTTTAATTAGAAACAAATACAGACAACTTCGAAATTGTTAACAACGAATTCTTGTTCAACCAACAATTTGGGTTTATAACTATTATTACCTGGTTTTAAAGAATAGTTGCTATAGTGCGTTCGGAGCGGATTAGAAGAATTTAAAAAGTATCATTGTACTGGATCCGCTAAATCTAGTATATATATATATATATATATATATATATATATATATATATATATATATATATATATATATATATATTTTTTTTTTGTCGCTAGACCAGAAAATTTGAAAAATAGGGACCGAAATGATTTTTTTTAATCTAGAAATATTTTGAGAACTGATTAACCAATACGGAACAAAGTTCTTACCAAACGTTTCACTGGTTTCACCGAACGCAGCACAAGTCGAAATGAAAACCAAAATGGCGACACTGCAAAAATACGAAAAAATCATTTTTGCTATAGGGCGTTTTGAATTGATAGAGCACCGCACCAAGACTGGGCCATCCCTAGTGAATCCCGGAGTTTTTATAACGCAAGTTATTTGGCGCCAAAAAAAATATCCTAGGGCTGCGTGCGGAGTTGCGCGTCAATGTACCGAGTCGAAACAATTGAATTAAAGACCGTCACGGTGAGCGGCCATATTTTTAGAATTTAGTTTTCGTCAGCCTATTGATATCTGTTATAATTTTAAGTTATCTAACAAGCTTCAAGAAGGTTTCAGCAACTCAAAGTTTTAACAAAAGAAAGTGCAATATTATCACGAGTAACTTACAAAAGCCGAATTAATTAAATAAATTTAATATTAAAAACTGCTGAACTTCAATTCAGTCGTTTCAATCACTCTCTGCTCCTAAGACGCCAACATGACGATTGGAGGAATCCAAAAGATTTGTAATTATAAATCGTCAATTTTTAATAGTAATGAAAAAAAGATCAAAATCAAATGTTCGAATTTTACAACACACTCTTTTAAATTTCTTTGTTTCGCAGTTAATAAGAAAATTATAAAAATTCGGTGTCTGGTATCTCTAGTTTAGGAAGTTTGTATGAATTACCCTGTATAGGCTGGCCAAAAGCGTTTACCGACTGTTGCCTGGAGTTTTATTCGTCTATAGAAAAATTCTAGTTATTCTACTTATAACAATTAGATATCCAAAAATCCAAAAATAGAGTGGGAAAATATGAAATTGACTTTTTGTTCTTTTGTAATCAGCAGCATCATCAAACAATTAACTTCAGCGTATACAAAATCATTCAGGTATCACCATATTAAAAAATCCATAGGTTTTAAGTTTGGTGGTCAAACAAATTAGTCAAATAATTTCTGTGACCAAATATTATGTTGTATCATCCCCGAGTCTCACTAGTAAAAATATTGAAAAAATGGTGCTTATTATTAAAGGTAAGTAGTTTAATAATGGAATATTAATGTTTTCTGTACTAAGACTTGGAAATATTGTACTTAATAAACTGTAAGTATCAAATTTCTACCATGTGATCACCCACCTAATGTACTTCTCAACTATCCTTAGAGGAAACCCCACCTACGCTACCCTTTACATAATATTTTATTTTCTGGAGGCAATGGCGTGACTATTAAGATGATGGAATTGCTGAACATTTTGAAGTCATCTGGTACAATTCATCGAAGAAAAGCAGAAAAAAGCTGCCACTTCTAGATAATGTTATCCATATAGTAGCAGCAGAAAATGTAAATTTTAACCATTATTAAAAGCTGCGACGTCAATTCCGTTGTTTGAACGCCATCATTTACTAATAGAAAATGTACCGAAAACTTTTGTAAAATTCAGTTGACGTCAAATAAAGGGTTGTAACAACTGTCATTTGGATGCCCTCTTCAAAATTTGACAAAAATAAAAACAAAAGTTTTAAAATTATTTATATATACGGTGGCTCAAAACGGCGCTTCAAATAAAACATACATTTTTTAAAATGGAACATCCTCTTTTAAATTTTGTTTGCAATTTTTTAACTTTTTTATTAATAATAATACCTACTTAAAATCTAATAGCTCCATTATTTTTGAAGGTGTAAGATCACTCATATTCGATATTAGCGTTATTCAGACGTAAAGTAAAAAATATGTGCAACGGAATTTAATTTATAGCTACAGGATATATATATATATATATATATATATATATATATATATATATATATATATATATATATATATATATATATATATATATATATATATATATATATATATATATATATATATATATATATATATATATATATATATATATATATATATATATATATATATATATATATATATTATATATATATATATATATATATATATATATATATATATATATATATATATATATATATGAATTCAAAGGATATCGGGTAGCGGTCCGTGGTTAAAATAGAAAGCTCCTTTTTTCTTTAACACTCAATATTTCGTCAATTTATTTGTTGACTTCTTCAGGAGTGAACTAAAATTTAATGAAAACAACAGGTTAGTTCACTCCTGAAGAAGTCAACAAATAAATTGACGAAATATTGAGTGTTAAAGAAAAAAGGAGCTTTCTATTTTAACCACGGACCGCTACCCGATACCCTTTGAATTCAAATAAGTTTAGTACGGTCGATATAAGAAGAAATTCCAAGTGTTATATATATATATATATATATATATATATATATATATATATATATATATATATATATATATATGTTATATACATATATATATATATACATATATATATATATATATATATAATATATATATATATATATATATATATATATATATATATATATATATATATATGTTATATACATATATATATATATATATATATATATATATATATATATATATATATATATATATATATATATATATATATTCTCACGTATTGATTCACAACACGCGATCTAGTGTA